GCCAGTGAGGAGAGTAAGCTCAGTGTAATACCCATGTGGGCACACTTTTTGTTTCTCTCTAAAATGCTACAAGGCTTCTTTTCTCCTCTCCCTCACTCTATCTTCTACATCAGCAACACAAAGGCTCCTCTGATGGCACTCAGGGAACTATTGATTCTTTTCTAGCCATCATGAATGGGATAAAGAAATGAAGGCTTTTGTTTTCTTTCTAGCTGCTTGCATTCACTGTGTGTCTCACACTTTTGTTTGTTTTGTATTTTGCTACAATTTTGAAATTAGTCTGGTCTCTGTTTACTCTAGTTTGTAAATGACCTTTTCTCACTTTGTGATTTGGTTGGAAGCACTCCTGTGTTACCTTTCCACAAGGCCAGCAGCCATAATGCCTTATCACATGGCCAGGCACCATCTTGTCTTCTCACGTGACTATTTGCATGGGCGTGTATCACTGGCCATGAACATTTTTTCCTCTATCTTTTGCTTTTGTTTGTTTATTAATGACTAGCTTTATAAGTGAAACTTCTGATTTTTAACATTTATTTATTTATTTATTTACTGAAAGTTTTACTTTGTAGTGCAGGCTGGCCTTGAAATCACTATGTAGTCCAGATTGGCGTCAAACTACTGGCAATTCTCTTGCCTTAGCCTCCTAAATGCTGGAATTATAGGCATGCACCATCACACCAAGCTGCCTCTGGTTTTAAAGAGCTTATGGATATGTGGAACCTTTTTGTTTCTTCCCACATAAAAGAAAATCTGTGTACCATACCTTTAAAAACCCAAGTAGCCTTTGCCAATGCAAAACCTTTGAGGGGCTGAGCCAATGTGAGCACATATGATGGGGCAGATATGGGTCCACAGGCAACACTAGAAGCCTTTCTTGGTGAGGCATGATCATCTCACTGTGGCTTTGGGCATAAAACAAGAAGCCTGCCAGGCTGCCACATAAGAGAGCTACCCCACTCTTCTTGTTGGTTGCACTGGAACTCATGACCTTCTTGCACTCTCCCCACTCCCATGGCCCAGAAAACTGGGTTGAGCCACACAAGTAAAACAGCACTAATGGGCCAAAGCCACTCATGCACAGGCACACCAGGCTACTAAGCTTAGCCTACTTAACGGCCAAAGGCACCATGGTGCTGTGTGTCTAGTCAGGCCTGTCCTGAGCTGAAAGCAGCAGGCATGACAGCAACCCTGCAGAAGCAAATGCTCAGATGCTACACTGCACTCTCCCAGGTGACAGCAAAGAACACAAATCGATGCTGGTGCTACAAAAGGCACTAATGCCCACTGTGCACTTAAGTCACTACTGGTGCTTACAGCTTACCAACACTGCTCTCTGCCAGTCCAAGAACCTGCCTGAGGCTATTATCAACATGCTTTTGGACTTCCCTGTTTAAATACAGATAAGTTAAAGACCTATGTCTGATGCCTCAGCAAAAAAGCTTTTAAAAACATTTGAAACCTAATTAAAATAACTGAGTGTATAAAACAGAGACATTTTCCCAACAAAATAAGTACAAGAGATGATTTTACTATATGGTTTCACTCTGGTTACTTCAGGCAGAATCATCAAGGGACTAGAAATACCAGTAAAGCCAGCATGTGGCTTAGAATAAATACAAGTTGGGCATTCAAGAGGTTCAATTGCATTGTTAAAAGAACCGTTTTTGGCTTTGTCTTAACCAGTTATTTGTCTAATACAAGAAAGACCTGGAATATGTTTAATGAGTGAGCCATTTCTAAATGCACTATCAATTACAAATCACGTTAGATAACTATTCACAGTTTTCTAATATCTAGTTATATACATATTTGCAGGGTCCCACAACAACAGAGTACATATTTCAGCAGCAGAACTTTCTTCAAAATACATCACATAGTAGTCAGTTCAGCAACCCAACTAGGTATAGCCCTTATTCCTCTCAGTCATACCCATTGCCTCTTGCCCAGAGTTTTATAGCACAGTTAGCTCTGCTTTCATGTTCCATAGATGGTGGGTATTTTGTTCTATTTGGAAAAATGGTTGTCTTGAGAAAATTAATTTTGAAAATATCAAATCTAGACTATCTTCTCCGTGTTACAGATAAAGTGGGTCCAAGAGAGGCAAAATGACTTCTTCAGGATCACCATAGATCCTTTGGTGGCAAAACCAGAATGCAAAGTTAGGATTTTGAAACACTCTTTCTCTCTGTCATGAATTAACACCACTTGTATTAATGAGAAAATAATAACTTAGATTTACTGCCTTATTAATAACTAAAACAATAACCTTCATTCCCCTTTCCTCTGTACTAGGCACTGTATTAGTTTGTATTTATAATTTTATTTCATTTCCCTTAGCAGCCCTATGAAGTAGTATTATTATCTTCATTTTACCAGAGTGAAAATCAAGGTTTATAAAGACTAAGTTACATTTTTAAGATTGCAGATGCAGTAAAGACTAAAATTTGTGATTTCAATCTAGGATACCATATTGAAATTTTTATGCCCTTAATAATGATGCCATATTTCCAACATGTATTTTGCAAAAAAAGTCTTATATAGGTCCTGGGTCAAATCTTGCCTAGCACTTGTTTATTGTAAATAAATTTTTATTGGAATATAGACATGCCTCATGAGCTACAATTGTGTATTTGAATAGCTATTATATATACAAATGGTATGTTCTGCAAATAAAATATTTATAGAGCAATACTTTACAGAAAATGTTTGTCAACTCCTGTTCTACAGGTATCCACTTAAATTTTTTTTTCAATTGCCCCCTGAGAGAAGGCAGCAGATATGTACCAAGGATTTGCAGGAGAAGCAGGCACAGAGTATCTTCTAGTGAAAATTCTGAACAAATAATACAAGCCTGGTGATTTGACCTAGTTGGTCTCTTGCAGTCTCCACTGTGTTGACTCAAGAACTTCAATAATGAACCTTTCCTTGTTGTCTTCCATGAGTCACAGCAGAGGCCTTATCCCTTCCCCTCCCTATCATAAATGCCTTAGAGCCTGGACTTGGACCTCAAGCTAATGGGTTTGGTCCCCACCTTCCCCCTTTAGCTTCAAGGTTCACATCTGTACCAGGTAGATAATCCTAGGTGCTGTTGTGGCCTGATCCTGGTTCCTTTGACCACTGAGCATTTCTGTGAGAGCTGAGGCCTGTAGCTCCTCCCTTCCCTTTACTGGTGCTTCCACTTTGCTTAGTCTAGGCTTGAGTCAGTGGGACAGTTTCTAAGTGTCTGATCACTTTTTAGAATCTGTATTGGTTTATGACCCAGACTTTGCCCCACCAGCTCAGTCTTCTGGAAGTCCTCTTGCTTGGCCTGTAACAAATGCTTTAATTCCAGGAAAGGAAAATGTGCTTTGACTGCCTGAAGAACAGCACCTGCTCCTAACCAAGATCGCCTCATCACAAAGTAAGGATATCAGGCAGTAGAACTGCCAATGTACCTGCCTCCCTTCCTCTACCGGGATTTGGTAGGTGTACTGTCTTTCCCAAAAAGGCATGAAATATTCAGCTTTATCGCCAAGAATTATGCACTACCTACTCTTTCCTTTATTACTTCATGTCTTTGTCACTTTTTTGTCTTCCACTCTTAATGCCTAGAATGTGCTTTTCTCATGGAGTCCTAGACATATAATTTTACAGAGCTGTGAGAGTCCACATCTAATTGAAAATCTTCATTTTACAAATGGAAAGAGACTCAGGGAAGAGAAAGATTTGAACCAAAGCACATACAGCAGGTGATTACTGACCATGAGAGGGGAGTTGGGGCCTAGGTCACTTAACTCAGGTCAATGATTTTCACTACTTTTTTCTTTTTTTCTTAGTGTAGTTTATGATGCATAAAAATACTACATTTTAAATATCACAACTTAACAATTTTACTTCTCCTCTTGGCTCTCCCATCTCCGCCCCATTCCCAGAGCCCATTCCCATTGGCACAAAATCTACCTCCCTATTTCCTATCAAGGGGCAAGAGGGATGGCCTTTGACTTTAAACAAAGCCAGGCTTCAGTTTCACTGTAAATTGTTAGGACCTATGTTACTTTTTTAAAATTGTTTCAAATACTCCTGAATCTTAGTTTTTCAGGCTATCACTTGCCTTTGCAAATCCAGGCTATCTTCTAATTATATGTGATTTAATTTGATGTAGAATGTTGTTAACATATCCCTGGAGTTTTGCTCTAGGATCTGCTACAAATGACAAAGACAGAGTTAATGTATGTTTAAAAAAATATCTAACAGGTAGTCAGTAATTAAATTCCGTACCTTACTTCCAAAGAAATATCTGTGTTCCTCCATTAAACTGCATAATGTAATAGTGTCATCAGAAAAAGACTATAGAGACCCAGGGCAATTTACCCTTCTTTTAATTCCTAACTGTGTGATCTTGAGTAAGTCACTTTCTCCCTTGGAATCTAGTTTTTCCTCCATTGTATAACATAGAGACCTAGAGTACCTATTTCACAAGATAATTTTGAGAAGCAAATGAGAGAATACATTTATAATAGTTAACATGTTGAGAGGCATAAAGGAAGACAGCTATTTGTTTTACTATTGCTTTACTTCTGTCTATTTTTAAGCAACCATGACCTCAGATAAAGACGGGGATGATAATTGTGTTTCTGAACAAGAAGAAGAAAAGTTCAATAGTTTCTTTATCCAGTAACCCTGTACAGGACCTCTTTCTTTCTTTCTTTCTTTCTTTCTTTCTTTCTTTCTTTCTTTCTTTCTTTCTTTCTTTCTTTTCTAGATATTGGACCCAGGTCTCCTACAACCTAGGCAAATATTCTACCACTGTGCTACATTCCCAGCCTAGCCTATTTCTTAAGACTTAACCTGCAAATTTTGAATAGCCACATTGACAGTGCATTTTCCTCCCAGTTCAGAACGCTGTTGTATCAGGGGTGCAACCCACCCTCTTGTAATCCTCTTTAGATCCTAACCAGGATTTGCAAAACACCCGGATATGGTCAAAGAACCAGCCCAGGTTTTGTACCAAACCGGTCTGCCCGGAAAAAGACATTCCCATATTGATTTTTAGAAAAGAGCTCACTTAGCACTATCCCCTCCTCCTTTCACTCACTCTAGGCCATCCCCCACCCCCAAATCCCTATTTCCACAGCCCACTCTCTCACCCTCTGCTACAAACAAGTCCAAGATTTAATTTTTGAGAAAAGCCTGTAAGCCAGGATACTGAACAGAACTGGCAGGCTCAGGCTAGGGTCTGCAGTTCAGCATCAATGGGCCGCTGGAATGAATATGAAAGTATTTTCTCTATCAAGGTAAGCTTTCTTTCTCTTCACTTTCTGAATGATCTCACCTGCCTTACTATGCAAAAACCCTTATCCGGCTGGGTTTACGGGGAGCTACTGGCAGAGTTAGTGGCTGAGAAGTTGGAGGAAGTTTGGCTGGGGTCCCAGGGAAGTTAGAGAAAAAAAAAATAGGGTCCTTTTGTTTCTCTTTGCAAAATGGCCAGGACCACACTGGCTTTTCTTTTTCTGGAGCAGTTCTAGTGTCACAGAGACTAGTTCATTGTCCTGTGGAAACAACTGGCTCATTTTCTGTCTCTCAGATTGGGGAAGCTTATTGTGGTGATGAACATGAAGACTACATAAATGAAGAGGCTCAAATCCTCAAAATCTATGCTTGTTTTCATATTTCCAGGTCAGATTGAGACAGAGTAAGCCAATATATGATAGCCGAGCAAAGCTAAAATCTGAAGTATCTTTTAATTTTTAGTATCTAAATGACAGGAATCTTTCAATAAACATGAGTTCAAATTTGGTTTTCCCAGTAGCTGGATGCATAATCTGCAGAAAACCCCTTCACCACCCTTATCTCAGTTTCTTATATATAATAAATCTGCGATGTACAAAGGTTTTATTGGTGTGGATATCTGCACTGTCTTCAGATTCTCATTACTGAACATGTATTATATGACAAACAAGCTCTTTGTCAGGGGGTTAAATATCCATTGTTTTGTTTAGGCTTCAAAAGAATCCTGTGAAATAAATATCATCCACATTTTTGGCTAAGGTGAAATAATTTTAGAAGTCATATAGCTGTTACAAGTAAGATACGGGATTTGAATTAAAGTTTTTAACTTTGGGATATTTTGTATTACAGGGTGAAGAAAAAATAACTAGTTAAGAAAGCAGAGAACCAAAAGGTGACTCTTAATGGTTCATTCAATGTTAATCCTAATGAATCTTAATGTTCATTTTGTTTGGAAGGTTGCTAAGAGGTTAGGGATAGAGCCCCAGGAATACTTTAGCATTCATTTTTGATTGAGTGATGTCTTGTCTGGGATAAGCCTGTTCAATACAGGCTAGCCCAATTTAGAAAAGGAAGGGAGAGGGAGAGAAAAGAGCATTGCCACATGAAGGGAACAATTCAAAAATTCTGTGGAAAACACTGATGCAAACTGTCATTGATGATGATAACCAGGTCCAGGTGACATTGGGATAATAGAAAAGTAAGGTAAAAGATAGGGGAGTTTGCCTTAATGGTGGCAAACCTTCTCCCCAGGGTGAAACAAAGGTTCTACATAGTAACTATGTTTTAATTCTTATTACAAGCAGCCAAAAAAGTATTTTGAACTTTTCCTTCCTTTGAATGCCTCTTCTTTCTGCCTTCCATTTTATTTTATTTTATTTTATACTTTGCCGTCTGTGGATTGAACCAAGGCTTATGCTGTGAGTTAGAACTCCAGTTCTTTTATTAAATTATTAAGTTAAAATTACATTATTAAATTCTTATTTTGAGACAAGTCTTGCTAAGCTGATAAGTTACCAAGGCTGGGCATGAATTTATGATCCTTCTGTCTCAGTTTCCCAGAATGCTGAAATTACAGCCATACACTTCTACAACAGATCCCTTTTACTTTTTTTTTTTAAGTACCCCCTTTTTACTTTTTCTCAAGAGTCTTGCTCAGCTTCCCTATGTAAACTTTCATTTTCTGCTTTCCTTTTTCCTCATAATTCTGGCTCTTTTCTGTGGGCTCAGTAGAGAAAAAAAATCCTGTCTCAAATGAAAAACGTACACTAAGATTTCAGTTCTTTCATCTCACTTGATCTTCATACCAAATTAATGAACAACTCAAGGCAGAGATCATCCCCATTTAAGCAATAAGGAAACATGAGCTCTGGAGGTTGAATGATTTGTTCTAGGTCGTATCATAAATACATATGAATCTAGAAATGGAACTTGCTTTTTTTTACATTGTCTGAACTCTTTCTAAATTCTATGAAATTTCTAAGCATTTCTAAAGGAATCTGATGGGCTGTCCTCTTCCGCTCTTAAAGTATATGATAACACCAAATTAAACAATAAGAACCATAACAATAGCAATGACAAATCCTTGTGGAGGAAAGAAAGTCAGTAATTAAAAGGAAGAAAAACTAGTACTAGCAAGTCCCAGATGCCTTGTAAGATCATCTCATTCAAATACAACTTAAAACAGTACTCAAACCTAAGTTTATCTCACTTAAAAGTTCTGGTTCTTTTACATATACTATGTTGCTTCTAAGGACAGAACAATGTCAACTTGAAATGTCTATGTATTTAAAACTCATTTCTATGATTTGATGCATATGTTTCTATACATCAGAACTTCAGAGTTGTACATGTTCCTATCTATGTAATGGTAAAGCTTTGGAGTAGGGTATAGCTCAGTGGTAACATGCTTGCCTAGGGGGCATAAAGGCCTGGGTTCTATTCTTAGCTTTAAAACAATTATTTTTTAAAAAGTTAACACTTTAATTATAGCAGTTTTCATTTATAAATCAATTTTCTTATTTGTATTAACAATAGCCATGTGCTCAAGCATTTTTTTGTGGTATAGGAGACTGAACATAAAGATTTCACACTGTGCTACATCCTCAGATCTTTACATTTTTTATTTTGAGACAGGATCTGTCAGTTCCCTAGGGTGACCTTAAGCTGGCAAGTCCTCCTATCTCAGTCTCCTCAGTAGCTGTGATTGCTGCCTTGCTAATACCACTCAGAGAAGGAAAGTTGGTGCAGGTCCATGTTGCATTCAGACTTACAATGAGCAAAGAACACTCCTTTTCCTTTGAGATTTCCAATGAGTGGCTGCTTCTGCCACCATAAATAGTACTACGTGTACGTACATATGAGTATACCTGTGTTTCATCAGTGATTGTGTGTATTGACATTGTGTGAGAGCTGTAATGATTCTTTTTTTAATACTTTACATTTCTTTTTATTTTTAAATTAATTTTGTAATGATTCTTTATGAACTCTAAATGCTACATTTTTGATACTTTTGTTTATTTTATTAGATTATAATACTTCCATTACTCCCAAAAGGTAAAAATTATACAGTCCAGCTCTATATGCTACATTATTTTAAAAATAGAAAACTGATCTCTAATGAGGTGAATAAACTTGACTAAAGTCACTTTTTTATCTTATGGGAAAAATTAAAACAAAATGTCTTAACAAAATAATAGTAGAATAACAATAGTTAATACATTGAGTATTGTTATCTTTAAAGTCATTTCTCAGAGTATATGATATGGACATAAAAATTTCTCCAAATGATATTAGCACTAAACTTTCTTTTCAATGCACTAAGAGTAACTAGTAGTAAAAATATCTTGTATTTTTTTCCTTTTCCCTTTCTTCCTTACCTTTTTCCCTACCCTAGTTCCTTTTTCTTTTTGAACAATTCATTCTCATTTCACAATATGTATTGTACATTTTGGACCTTATTTACTCTTAATTTCTCATACCAGGGAAACAATATGATGTTTACACAGTGAGTGATTTATTTCTCTTATAAGTATAGTCACGGGTTACATCTATTTACCTATAAAAGTCTCATTTATCCTTCTTTATGGCTCATTTATCCTTCTTTATACTCCATTGTATCTAGAGGTCCCATTTCACACAGATATTCCCCTTCTCGGTATCTTCCTAAAATAATTAAAAACATCATACCTCAGTTATGTGTGTACTCATGGTTATAGTGGAACAATTTGTAATACCTAAATCTTATAGAAAACCAAAGTGCCCATCAATTGAGGAATAGATGAAAAAGATGTGGTCTTTCTATACAGTGAAAATACTCTTTGAACTAGGGACAGAACTCGAACTAGAGGCAAATGGTGAGCTAATACGAACTTAAAACTTTGTTTTGTGTGCCTGAACCCCGGATTTTCACACAGAGCTGTAAACTATACCCTTTTAAAAAAAATTTATAATTTTTTTATTTATTTAAGACAAGGTCTTGCTAAGTTTCCCAGGCTGAGTTCAGATTTGTTATCTTCAGTCCCTAGCCTGCCAGAGTATTGAATTTATAGGACTGCCTGCATATGCTTCTTTGTGTTACTTTAGCAATAGATAACTAGCTTCCACCTACTGGGCTGCCACTGTGTTGGATAGTATTCACTCTCAAGGAGTTTATAGTACATTTTCAGAAATAAGTGTAATTCACTAGGCAGCTCAGAAAACCAACAGTAACACGAAGTCTGACTTAATCCAGTTGAGTGCTGTAGAGAGCAGCCCTAAGTGACACAGAGAGGCTAGCAGTGTTCTTCTGGAGTAGTTGGAGATTTAAATTAACCCTTGGTATAGAAATGTACACTGTATGGAAGAATAACTGAGTATGGGAGACAAACTTGTAATTCTTACACTCTGCAAAGCTGAGGCAGAAAGTTCACAAGTTTGAACCCAGCCTGGGTAATTTAATGACTTAGTGAGATCTTGTTTTGTAAAAAAAAAAAAAAAAAAAAAAAAAAGTATTGGGGATGTAGCTCAGTACAAAAGTCCTGAATTCAATCCTTACTACAGTAAATAAACAAGCAAACAATAGTAAGTTATAGTCAAGTGGGGGAAAGAACAGAGAGGAAATCGGTAGTGATTGCCTAATATTTTCCAAACACTGATATTACAGGGGCCCTTTCGTGTATGTTTTCTGATTTGTTTCTTCAAAGCTGTTATTACAGCTGTGTTACAGAGAAGAAAACAGTTTCATAATTGTAAAGTAATACCCAAGGCTACATAACTTTTCAATGGGAGAGCCAAACTTTGGAAAGAACCCGCAAACAGGTCATTGCTTAATTAAGGGCTTTCTGTCAAATATAATTTGGAGACTAGAAATTTACTGCCACATTTGAAATACCCAAGAATTTGTAAGGAATTCTATGGGTTTCTTTTTAAAATTAAGGTAAGTATCTGAAACTTTTCTATCTATATGTGAATCTATATGTGTGTGTGTGTGTGTGTGTGTGTGTGTGTGTGTGTGTGTGTGTAGTACTTGGGTAACAAACTCAGCAACATTCTATCACTGAGCTATGTATCCAACCTCATTTTATTTTGAGGTAGTATCTCATTAATTTGCCTAGGCAGGACTTGACTTTGTGATCCTCTGCCTCAGTCTCCTAAAAGAGTGGAATGATAAGTGTTCCTCATCACACCTATCTTTGTGTATATCCTTTTTGTTTGTGTCACTGGGGATTATATTTTTTATTTTTGATTAAATTATCCATATTTCATATATTGGGTTTAAATTTGTGAAATAGTTTATGTAAAGAAATGAATATGATGTTCTGTGTTTAGTAATCTCTCAATGACTGGCAGCTATCTTTATCATTATCATTATTGTCTATGTGTGGATGTGTGTTTCTAAAGTAATAATAGTCACAAGTAATTGCATTATTTTAGAGTATATGTTTTTCCTAGATATACCTATAGTTATGGTCATATGCATGTTTTCTGTGCATATACATGTGGGTAGTCAAGTATGTATTTGTGGAAGATAGCATATGATTAAGATCATAAGCATTAAATTCATACTTCCTCAAATAAGTTTTTTACCTATTGTTAACTAGATGCCTTGAGCAAATTACTTTACACTCTGTTAATTCCTCTACTATAACATGGTAATAATAATGACATCTACTTAATTGGGAGTTTGTGAGGATTAAATGATGTAATTTATGCAAAATATGTAGGTGCATCACGGTCAAACTCTAAGTACTGATTATTGTTGCTGCTATTATTATGATTCTGAAGGTGACTCCATGACAGTGGGCTTTACGTATGATTGTAAATGTGTGCATCTTTGCCTTTAACTAAGATTGCATGAGCCAATATATGCAAATATGTGTGTGTATTGATGTGTTTGTGTTTCTGTGTTTCACTAGAAGTGTATGATATAACTGAGCATTTTATCCTACTCCAAGAACTTTAACCTCCTGATTTATGTTACTAAAATAAGAGGGTAGAAGTTTGGGTTTGAATCTGTTTCAGGATTGGACCTGTAAAATGGATTTGTACCTAGCCTTAAGAAGCAACAGGGAATATGTCCTTCTGGGAAGTTTGGTATATTTCCCACACATATACATTTATTTTTATTTCAATTTTAATTTTTTTGAGTTATACCATGCATGCAAAAAATGCACAGATTTTAAGCTGATAGCTCAGCATATTTTCACAACTGAGACACACCCATATAATTGATGCATATTAAGAGGTAAGAACATTGGGAGCCTTTGTTGTCTTCAGTGATATATACCTCAAGGAAAACACTATGGTTTCTACTTCTTTTTCTCTTTCTTATCCTTTTCTTCCTTTAAGTTTTTTTGACGTTTAGGATGGAATGTAGAGCTTCATGGCTGCTTCACAATTGCTATACACTGAGTTAGCCTCTATTCTTACTTCTAATAGCGTATGTTGCTTCTCTGTTTTTTTTTTTTTTTTTCCCGTTAGGCCGTACTGACTCATAATGAAGTCATAAATTATGTGTGCTCTTTGTGTACAGTTTCTTTCTGCAACATTACATTTGTGAGATTTGTCAATATGATTGTGTGTGGTTGTAGTTTCTTTACTATTAGAGCCATTTAGAAATCCATTGTAGGAATAAAATGAAGCTCATTCATCCATATTAGTATGCACAAACATTTTGGCTGTTTCAGTTTTTGATTCATGAATATTCCAGTAGATGTTTCTTGATGAATTCTTATTTGTTTATAAACATAATTTATAGATGATAGAAAGTGAACAGCAATGAATTTTCATTTGCTTATGGGAAAACAGGCAAAGGAAGAAATCATGACTTGATCTAGGTACCAAATGAGTCAGTGTGGATTAATCAGGCTTCTTATGCCTTATTACTGATTCTTGGGACAGAGTACAATTCTTCCTTCTCTTAGTACTGAAGAAACAGGATTGAGATCTTCCTTCTTCAGAAGTGATGTGAAATTATCAGTATAGGTGAATTTTTAACTTTGTCCTCTGAAGTCTGATGTGTAGAAATCACTGAACACTTGGTAAACTGAGAGTGATCAAGTAAGGTTAAAGAACTGGGCTGATTTTAGTTTTGCTTTTCAACCATTTCACCTGATCTTTGCCTCTTGGTTTTCCAGATATATCCAAAGCCCATTTGTTCTCCTTCATTCATATCAGCAGTTTTCATTTGTCTGTTTCCCAGAGTAATGTGGGCCATGGAGCCAGGTCACCTTCTCTGGGGTCTACTATTCATGCAATCCTTCTGGCCACTCCTGACTAATGGGGCCACTCGAGTCTACTACCTGGGCATTCAGGACGTGCAGTGGAACTATGCTCCCATGGGAAGGAATATCATCACAAACCAGTCTCTGGACAGTGACAAGTAGGTTTAATTTCTCATGGTTTTATGTCTGGAGTTTAAAGGGGGTATCCCTGAGGTGAAAAGTTAGCCTTTTGAGGGTGCTTTCCAAGGATGCAGTCTCTCTCAGAGAGATCAGGAACTGCATACAGGAAATGCTTCTGGGGAGAGAGCAAACTGATCCAGTGAACATCCCATCTAGAGTCTGATTTTCCAAACTGGTGTGCCTCAGCATTTTTAGAGTCTTAAAGATAATTCAGTTTCTTTGATTCTAACATTTGTTTAGTTTATTTTAAAATATAAATTAGGGGGGAAAGAAAAGATGGAAAATAAGAAGTAGGGAGAAAGATCTTTCTCAAGTGGAAAGGAGATTAAGCAATGAGGGAAGAGAAGAGAAAACAAGAAAGGGATGAAAAATGGAATTAAGATATACTATGTATAAATATCAACTACACAAGGAATGTAAACATTATTTATGCCAAATATGTACTAATAAATTGTACACAAATTAAATATATATATATATATATATATATATATATATAAAATATTTGTAAATTTGTAGTGAAACTATTGCTTCCATAGGGTGGTGAAACTAATGTGATTTTAGATATATATGTGAAAATTTAAAAAAGAAATAAGGTAAGCCTTAGAAGCAAGGAAATGATACTAATGACTATCACAAATGTAGCACTCTGTGACAGTTACCATACTAGGTATTTACAAACTTTGTCTCACCTAATTCTGACAAAAACTATGAAATACAACTCTTTCTTTTTTTCTCTCTCTCTTTCTTTCTTTCTTTCTCTTTGCCTCTCACTCTTTCTCTTTTTTCTTCCTTCCTTCTTCTCCCCTCCTCCCCTCTCCCCTCCCTTCTCTCTCTGTCTTTTGGTACTTGGAATTGAAACCAGGCATTTTCACTGACCTAGATCCCCAGTCTTTTATTTTGAGATAGAGTTTCACACAGTCACTAAGTTACCCAGGTTGAGTTTGCAACCCTTTTGCCTCAGCCTCCAATACTACTGGGATTACAGAAGTGAACTACCTTGCCTGATTGGAATAAACTTTTTTTTAATAATTGTTTATATTTTGAAGAGAATAAACCAAATGTGACAAAACAAAATAGAATCAGTCAAAACAAAAGGATGGACATAGTACATGATGTAGAAACAAAATACAAGATGATCAACAATGGTTACCATGTCTCCTTCTACCTTCAAAAGAATGGTCCGTATCATCAGGTATAATAAGTCAAACAAAATAGAGTAGAATAACACAATATAGTGAAAGCAATACAGGATTCAAATCAAGTTAATAGCAAATCAAAAATGGTTACCATAATATATCCTGCTATCTTTGGAATAGCTGTCCATGCCATCAAATCTAATACAAGTAGAAAAACTGGAATAGAATAAAACCATACTAAACAGAACGATGAACACAATATGAGTTTCAAATCATGATACAAGATTAACAATGGTCACTGCCTTCCCTTTTTAGACAATTCCTTTCCTTTTATCTTCACAGAGTGCATTGTATATTTTACATCCCACTAACTCCTTTAGGCTTTAGAGGCAGTTCACTATTCACCTAAGTGATTCTGAATCTTTTTACCCCTGAGCATGACCTTGAGTTGTATCCATTTACCTACAAGAGCCTCGAGGTTTTCTTTCTTTATAACTGAGTCATTTTCCATTGTATAAAAGTGTTGCTTTCTAGCAATTTGCAGCTGATGGACAAGGTCCCCATTCTGTGAGCCCCCTCTGCCACTGTTCCTGAAACCATAATTTTTGCTCTCTCTCTCTCTCTCTCTCTCTCTCTCTCTCTCTCTCTCTCTCTCTCTTTCTCTTTGTCTCTCTATCTCTCTCTCTCTCTCTCTCTCTCTCATCCTTCAGTATTTTTTGTAGGGTTGGTTTGGTGGTCATGAACTCACCCAGTTCCTCTTTGTCATGGAAGTACTTTGTTTCTCCATTAGTTTTGAGAGAGAGTTTTTCAGGATACATCAATCTGGATTGGAAGTCATTTTCTTTCAGGACTTGGAATACTTCACTTCAAGCTCTTCTTGATTTGACGGTTTGTGTGAAGAAATCTGCTGTGATTCTGATGGGTTTTCCTTTATTGGTGATCTGTTTCTTTTCTATGACAGCTTTTAATATTCTGTTCTTGTGTATAATTTCTGGGATCTTGATTATTGTATGTCTGGAGGTAGATCTATTTTGGTTATAGCTGGCTGGCGTTCTGTATGCCTTATATATCTGAATGTCATTTCCTTTTCCTATGTTTGGAAAGTTCTCTTTAATTATTTCTGTAAATAGCTTTTGTACTTCATTTGTATTTACCCCTGCTTCTTCACTTAGATCTTTTATTCTTAAGTTATATATCCTCTTATCATCTTCTGGCATTTGTACTGTTACTTCCTCATTCCTTGTTATTTTTAAAAGATCTTTCCTTTTGCAATCACAAGCTGCAAACCTGTCTTCAAGGTTTGATAGTCTATCTGTAGTTTCTTTCAAGCATTTTTGCCAGCTTTCAATGGAGTTTTTAATTTCCTGGTATTCTCTTTGAATGTGTTTTACTGTTTAAAAATATTTTTCATTGAAGGCTTCCCTCCTTTATTTATGCTCCTATATTCTTCCATCTGTGTCTTCTTTAGAGGTGCTTAGCAATTCTTTTATTATGTTTCGCGTATCTTCTTTTACCTGGTGAAATACTATTGTATTTCTGTTGTAAGTTCTTTTATAGCTTTGTGGAGTTGTTTCCTTATTTCAGTTGTTGTTGCTCCAAAAACTGCAGGTGTGCAACTCCATATCTCTTCCATGTTTACCTCTCCTGGGCCAGTACTGCTTGGGCTGGAGACCAGAGACTGCCTTTTGCTTCTTCCTCTTGTCATATTCCTGGTTTCTTCTGGACAAGTGGGTAACAGGGTCCGCAGCACTTCCTGTATTGTTTATAATTACTCTGAAGTGCGTTGGCTAGGTATTTCTGCTGTTTCCTTCTTTCCCCAGTCTGCTGGTGGCTACTGGAGTGTAAGCAGGGGCAGGGCAGGCTGGCCCCTCCCTTCTGAGCTGGTTAACCACAAGGAGTCTTTACCATGTTAGTGTGCACAGGGCAGGTGGGGTTGGTTAAAGATAGCTTAGGGAAACCTCAGCAGTGGCTATTGGACTGTGCAGAGTGGCGGGACTCAGTCCAAGCAATTTCCACCTTCTGCTCTGATCTAGGAGTGGCTGAATGAAGCCAGATGCAGTTCTTGTCTCCATGGTTATCCTGCCCAACTCCAAAATGGTGCCCGACCAATTGCCCACTCCCTCAGGAGGACTGAGTTCCCCACACTCACTGCTCACCAATGCAGTTCTCTGGTCTGCTGCTGCCCTCTGCCACTGTGTTTCTCTGCCAAGGCTTTTGGGCTTGCTAGCCACCAGCTTCCCTGTGCCCATACGTTTCTGGGTTCCAACAGTGCTTCTGGCACTGTGGTTCCAGGTCCAGTGAAAGCGCCACCAACTACTACCTTCTTCTGTTTAAGTTTCTTTTCTTCTTTTATTTTATTCTATCTATGGGCTTCAGTTCTCACTTTTTAGTTTCTTCCTGGGTTGAGGGGACTTGCTTCTTTCCTTCTTGTCTTCTCCAGAATGCTACATTCCAGCATCTGGACTGTTTGTCTAAGAGAGGCTATTTACTCTGTTGCTTACTATTCCACCATCTTTCGAAATAAACTTTCTTGATTTTAGAAACTTTCAGGGGCTGCACATACATTTGTTAAAAATATGAGTGAATAAATTTTTAAAAATATTTTGTGACCATGAACTATTTTATTTCCCCAATGCAAGAAGGGCTTTCAAAGTTGATGCATTTCAATAGTTCAAAAAATACTATTACTTAGTGGTAGAAAATAATGAAATTTTTCCTTCAGAGAACATTTTAGTATAGGCCTTTTTTGACTCTAAAACTTTTGCATCTCTGAGCTCTCTAGGAAGAATTATAGTAAGATTAGCAGCTCTACTTTCATTTTCTTTTTTCTTTTAAAAAACAAAACAAAAAAGATGATAGAAATGATACAGAATTTAAAAAAAAAAAGTGGGAAGTTAGTTTTCCTTTTTGAGTGCTGAGGATTAAGCCTAGGGCCTCAGACATTCCATACAAGAGCTATGTCTATCACAAGCCATTTTAAGAAAAACTATAAACATGGTATTTGAATCAGAGAGTACTTCTATTAAACTTATCCTTGAGAGAACAATTTTATTACCTCACATCCCCAATGCTTTAAAACAATAGCATTTTCTGTGTTTTTGAAGTATGCCAGGTACTGTTGTTCTAAATTACTTGCATATTTTAATTTTCAATTTATTTTTTATGTTCTTGTGCTTAGAAACAACCCAGGACCTCATACATGTTAAGTATGCACTCTATCACTGAGCTACAACACCCCTAGACCTAAATTTTAATTCTGTTAATCACCAATAACAAGTGTCTGAGTTAGGTACTATGATTATCTTCATTTTACAAGTGGAAAAATTGTGTACAAAGTATTTAAGTAAATTTCTCAATACCTCACAAATTTGGAAGTAGTAAAATAGGCATTCAATTCAAGTTGTCTGAATCCACATCTTGTAGTCATAACCCCTGTGCTTTAATGCTCTCCTTATGTAGCAGGGTAATGCCAAGGGCACATCAATGCAGATTTGAACATTTAAAAAGAATTAGTGCATACTTGGTTGTATCCTTATTACTATATATTGTATTGAGTCATGCTGAATCATGCGAAATTGCCTTTTTAGAAGTAATGAAATCAGCAAGACTCAGTGATTTCAGGTGCTTCAACTTACTACTTACCATTTTCTAAATGTTAAACTTAAAGCTTTTATGTTTTTTGTATTTATAATTAAATTTACTCTTGCTTCGCTCTAAAGATGGAAACTTTTTATTTTGCTTTCCCAATAAGCTACCCCCATCCCCTTTTCTGAGACTGGATCTTACTAAAATGCCTGATTAGAATATTTGAACTTTCCATCCTCTTGCCTCAGCCTCCCAGAGTGCTTGGGATTTCAGGTATGCACCACCAAGCTAAGCCAATGAAAATTCTTTTGTCAGTATTCTGTAAAAAAGAGACTTCCAGTGATTTGCAGATGGTGGGAAGATTGTAACTATTTTCTTCTTTCTCAGAATGGCTTCCAGATTTCTAAAGACTGGCAAGAACAGGATAGGGAGCAGCTATAAGAAGACCATCTATAAGGAATACAAGGACAGCACTTATGTAGATGAAGTGACCCAGCCTTCCTGGTTGGGCTTCCTAGGGCCAGTGTTACAAGCTGAGGTGGGGGATGTAATCCTTATCCACCTGAAGAATTTTGCCTCTCGTCCCTATACCATCCACCCTCACGGTGTCTTCTATGAGAAGGACTCAGAAGGTAAACCAGTTTACTTCTTTCAGTCTCAACAAGTATCATGTTTCCTTTACTGAGAAAGAAGAGCTGGGAACAAGGACAAGTCTTTTCTTATTTATCTATCTGAAGTGGCAAAGATTTTGCCCAGAGAAAACATGGGAATCTTTTTTTTGTTGTTTGCTTTGTTTTTTGGTGCCGAGGATCGAACTCACACAACCTCAATCTTGCCAAGCAGGCGCTTGTGCAGGCTGAAGTAAACCCCCAGCAGGAATCAGTTTTGTTATTCAGACATTGAGTGACTTGGTCATGTCCCTTCTTTTTTGGGGGGCTTCAGAATTCTTATGAAGAATTCAAAGATACAACCTTTTCCACTTTATCAAAAGGAGTTATTTGAATGACACTTCTTTAAAATGTGCTGAAAAGCGAACTGTGCTGTAAATATATTACTGCAATGTTGTCCAAAATGTCCAATTTTTTTCATAAGAGGGAATTCAACTTACGTTTTTGGTTTTCCCAGTGACCTGTAATACTTACAGTGAGTGAGAGGAATACAGATCAAATTCGGAAGATGCTAGCTCGTAGAACAGGATGCAAAGAAAGCAGAACTCTTATATACAGTTGATGGGCATGTAAATTAAGATAGCTATTATGTGAAAGTATAGAAATGCATAAAAAATAAAAATCAAACTACTGTATTATTCAGTAATCACACTTCTGGAAAAGGAAGGAAATTAAATCAGCATGTTGAGGAGAAACCTGCATTCCATATTTATTGCAATACTATTCATAATAGCTAGGATTTGAAACCAACCTAAATGAATATCAACGATGAAAAAAGAAAATGTGATGTGGGGCTGGGATGTAAATCACTGGGGGAGCACTTGCTTAGCATGTATGAAGCGTGGATCCATTCTCAGCACTGAAATAAACCGTGATATGTACATAATGGGATACTCTTCTCCCTTAAAAAGGAGGAAATCTTGTCTTATGAGAACTTAGATGTACCTAAAGGACATTATGTTAAGTGAAATAATGCAGATACAGAAAGACATGCATCACTTCATTTTACTCATGTGAAGTCTAAAACGTGTTGATCTTATCCAAATTTACCATTATAATCGGAGCACTGGGGAGGGTAAGGCACAAAGATCACAAGTTTGTCAGTCAGCCTGAGCAACTTCACCTGTTTCAAAATAAAAAATAAAAATCACCAAGGGTATAGCTCAGTGGTAGAGTATATTTAGCTTCTACTCCATGTGCTGAAAAAAAAATTGAACTTACAAAAGTTGAGAATAGAACAATGGTTACCTGAGACTGGATAGTAGGGGTGAAGGACCTTAAGGAGAGGCTGGCCTACAGATAATGTTACAGTTAGCAGGACAAACATCTACTGTGCTGTAGTACAGCAAAGTGAATCTCTCTAACAGTAATGCACTATGTATCTCTCAAAATGGAACAATTTTGAGTGAATTCATAACATTAAAACTCTAACCATGTAAGAGATTTTTAAAGAACATTTCTTTAGAAAGATAAAGTAGAGAAATGTGGCTCCTTTTTTTTTTAGAATTCCTTCAACTTTACTTGTGGGAATGAAATCAGACAACCATTGAGGGCAAAATATAGAGCCTTCGAGCAGTCAAATGTCATTCTTCTGTTTTTATTTAAAATTAATTTTATTGATAAATTTAGATATATGTAATGATCACATTCATGATAGAGAATTTATACCTGTACATGATATATCTTGATTCGTCTTTTTTGTACAGTTTCCTCCACTCTTTTCAATTCCTATTCTCCCTATTTATAAAAGTTTTGCTTCCATTTATTCCTTTGTTTCTCTTTTTTCTTTTCTCTTCCTTGTTCATTTTTAAAAAGTGGGCATGGTAAGAGTTAAATTTTTATTAGCACATGTGATCAAAATTTGCAAAAATTGTCTTCATACCTCATTTGTGTCTTCTTCCCTAGTTTCCAACCCTTCACAGATAGAATACCTGGCTTCCACATTGGCCACCAGCCCAAGTAATGCTGCCATTGGCTATATTTCAGACCATACCTGGTTGATCAGAGATCTCTGCTTTGGTCTGAATGGAATAAAAAAAGCTAGAGGTGATAGAAATTAAAATCACTCTCCCATTTTCTTTTCTGAATTAAAATATTTAGTGAAAATTATTATAACATCCCCTATATTCCACCAATTAAGTAATGCATCATCTTAAACTCATTTTCTATGCAGGTTTTAGATGTTATTTATGTACCATTAATTTTTCACAGCAAACTTAGGTAACCTTCATTTTACCCCAGAGCAAATTGAAGAATGCACACTGTTGCACATAAAAATTTTTGCAGCACTGAGGAATGAATCCAGGGCCTTTGCACAGAGCTTCATCCTCAGCACTGTTATTAAGTTTCCCAGGTTGGTCTTAAACTTGTGATCTTCCCGCCTCAGCCTCCCAGAGTGCTAGTACTACAGGTATATACTACTATACCCAGGTCTGTAGAATCCTTTTTTTATGAAAGCATTTATATATAAATGTATATAAAATGTGTATCTTTATATGACAGTGTATTGAAAATTAGGAAATATATTGATAATTATAGATGTTGTGAAGAAATTATTTCCAATTTTGCACTAAGAACTATTTGGATGAACTAAATCCAAAACCTGATACTATAAGTAGCAGTTTTGTTTTGTCTTACTGTTTATATATTGAAATATTGATATACCAGATAATCCTCGTCCCTGGAGTACTCAGTTAAATTTGGTTTCTAGAGTATATGGTTAGCTTTTGAAATTCTTTTCTATTGGTGAAATTTAAATATTGGTTTCCCTCACAAATGAATTTTCATATTTGTAAATGTTGCTTTATTCAGGTTTGAGCAAGTTGTGAATAAGTGAAAAAAGTAACTTGCTCAATATATATAGTTACATGTGATAAGAATGAGTTGTGTGTATTCTTTTGAGAATAGATTTATTTCTTCTGTTATAATCAGGATTACAAAAATACATGCTTTAATATTGTTATGTTTGTGGATTTTTTCAATTTGTTTAACCATTTCACTGATAAAGTTCTGCCACCACATTTTCATTTATTTTTTTTTTTTACAATTTTAAACAAATCTCTGTTAAATATTGCAGGGATGAGCTGGATGTGGTGACAAATGCTTGTAATCCTAGGACCCTAAAATGTTAAGGCAGGAAGATTATAAAGAGAACTCGACCTGAACAATTTAGTGACTTAAGAGAAATTGTCTAAATATACAAGAATAAGAAAAGGGTTAGGGCTTTAGCTCAGGGTAAGCATCTTGAGTTCAATCCCCAGTAACACAAAAACAAACAACTTATGGTGGTAAATTGATTAAAAATGAAAAATAAAAAAGACATGAGAAAAGGTTATGGCGATGAATATAGAACAAAGTAAAGAGATTTTTAATTTGGCTTTTAACTTCCTACATGACCTTTAACAAGTTACTTCCCCTGTTTATTTTTCGTTTAACAGGGAATTGAACCAACTTATCCTTAAATTGCCTTTATGCTGAAGTTGTATGATTTTTCTGCTCTTAGTTTTCCAACGTGAGTCATTCAAAGAAGGAAATTTTGTCTTTTCCTTTGCTTCCATGCTCCCAGCTTTGTACTATGGCAGTACTAGCTAGGTTTGCAGCACTTTGTCTGGTTAGCTCCTTCCCAAATGGCAGGAATCTCTTCACCCATTGTTTATGTGAAGACTCAGATGAGGAACACTGTATAGGACCTTAGGATCTCATGTTTTTCAAGACTAGACCCATATGTCCTGTATACTTGTCCTCTCTTGGCTTCTGTATCTGCCATTTTTCCTCTCACTCACCCTGGTACAAGACATGTACAATTTTATTTTCTAGGCTCCTTATACCCAGATGGCTCTTCTGGGCCACTGAAAGCTGATGACTCTGTTCCTCCGGGGGGCAGTCATATATACAACTGGACCATTCCAGAAAGCCATGCTCCCACCAATGCTGACCCAGCATGTCTCACTTGGATCTACCATTCTCATGTAGATGCACCGAGAGACATTGCTACCGGCCTCATTGGACCCCTCATCACCTGTAAAAGAGGTACAGCCCCCTGAAGAATGATCTAAAGGCTGTAGTTTGGAATATTTGGGGAAACCAACAATATTTTTGAAGAACCTTCATCCTGGGCAGTAGCCTAAAGAATGTTAATCAGGCACCTTTGTTTATTAACAGGAGCATTCCTGCCAAACTTCCTGTCCACTATTTTTTCTATATCATTGCCTTTTTTCTTTAAAAAATAACCCTAAAATCTCTCTCTCTCTCTCTCTCTATATATATATATATATATATATATATATATATATATATATTACTTTTTGTTTATTTCTTATTGTATTTTTCAAATTCAGATTGACAAGTTGGTTGGAATAATACACATTAAAGGAATAGTCAAACCTGAAGGCAAGGGTCTGGCGGAAATGTGTTCAGATTTAGGCCCTGGGTTGAAGACACAGTTAAAGATGATGGGAAGGAATTATTCTAGATCCTATATGACCCATATTCAAGTTCAACTGTATTAGTGGTTTTATCTGGAAAGTTTAGAAATGAAAGCTAGTATCAGAAGGCTATACTTCCTTTTCTGTTTCCAACAGATCCTTAAGGTTCCTTCTCATTTTTCCCTTTCTTATGAGTACCTTCTGCAGCTTACTGTTGCTAAGAAAGGAGGTTCTCAAGTGCATCTTTTATACTTGCTCTAGGAACCCTGGATGGGAATTCTCCTCCTCAGAGGCAGGACGTGAACCATAATTTCTTTCTGCTCTTCAGTGTGGTGGATGAGAACCTTAGCTGGCACCTTGATGAGAACATTGCCACTTACTGTTTAGACCCTGCCTCAGTGGACAAGGAAGATGAGGACTTTCAAGAGAGCAATAGGATGCACGGTGAGCTGGGAGAAAGGGAAAACATTTTGTCAGTGGACATTGATGAAGAGTTGCTACAGGACCTAAAATTTGATGGGTGCTTACACATATCTGGTTCTTTTTAATTCTCATAAGAACCAGTAATAGTGGTTTTTCCATTTTGACTGTAAGTACCCTGAGGCTTCCAGAATTAGAGACCAATTAAATGGCACAACTAGACATATATTCCTTTTGTATATGACTGTAGGCTATGCTACCCTGCCTCATAATGAGGAATAGCTAAGGCTATTGATTCGTAAGTTACATACTATGAGTTGATTGCCCACTGGTGTAATTAATGAATATGAGTTCTTACAAAAGCATGCAAGCTGGAAAAATTACCTACTTTGTGGAGGAAAAATATTTGGTTTCAAGGCACTTTGCTTATATCTTCTACCTTACTCTGGGTTAATATTTGTAAGGGAACTAGTCATATTCATTAAATATAAAACAAAATGAGAGCACAAAACTGATTTAAGAAGAGAAGCAAATTGGGGCTGGGGGTTTAGCTCAGCGGTATAAGCGCCTGCCTTGCAAGCAGTTAGTCGTGAGTTCGATCTCTGGTACTGATGAAAAGGAAAAAGACGAAAAAAAAAAAAAAAAAAAAAAACAGAAGAAGAGAGGCAAGTTAATTTTTTTGTTAATCAAAGAAGTGGTTTTATTAATTTTTGGTAACAGTGATTGGCTCAAAACCAAACACCCCTAAAATGAGTTGAGAATTTAGACGGAATATATAAAGGATAGTTCAGACAGTTCAAATTTCTCTTGGGTTTTATAAAAGTTGATTGTAATAGCAATAATAATTGCTATTGTAGCTGTTATTCTGTGGAAATATCAGAAGGAAACCAGTCTGAAAGGAATAAATAGCCAGCAAAAAAACGCTATGCCTCAGAAATCTTCTTTGTATTGCTTATGCAAAATATTGACTTTACCACAAACCAGCTCTGTGGAGTTCAGAAAGCAGAATTTTACTTCTCTGAGCCAACTGTTTTTCACATTTTTGAGTAAGATTTACTGTTGTTGGCCTGTTTCTGACAGCTGTTTACAGTATTGAAATGAAATAATACATATGGTCAGCAGAGTGTGTTCTTTAAAATTTCATTGAGGTATTATCTATTATTATTATCAGATGATAAGGCATCCCATTGGTCTGTGCTTTTCTAACTTTGATATTTTCTTTTGTAGCAATCAATGGCTTTGTCTTTGGAAACTTACCAGAGCTGAGCATGTGTGCACATAAGCATGTGGCCTGGCACTTATTTGGCATGGGCAATGAAGTGGATGTCCACACAGCTTTCTTTCATGGGCAGATGTTGACCACCCGTGGACACCGCACTGATGTGGCTAACATCTTTCCTGCCACTTTTGTTACAGCTGAGATGATACCTCAGAAGCCTGGCATCTGGTTAATTAGCTGTCAAGTGAACAGTCACTTGCGAAGTAAGATGCAAAATTTCTGACTTTTAGGGTGTTGGAGGGGGATTTCAATAATAGTCAATATAAACCTGAAGTTTTGGCTTGGAGCCATAAGATAGGTTTTCTAGGTGAGACAATAAGTGCATGGTTAAACACTAAACATTTAGTGCATGGTTAAACACTAAACTAGAAGTCAAGACCCTCACATTCTTATTTGGTTCTGTCATTAACTTTTTAAGTAATGTTGAACATATCTCCTTGGATGTTCTCTTTTTCATCTCAAACATAAGGTGTCCTAGGGATGGATAGGTAGACTTCTAAGATCTTTTTTTTATTTGTTAAAAAGTCTAAGGATTTACAACATAGAAGTATTTTATCTTGATTAAATGGGGAGTGAAGAAGAGATTAGTTAAAGATAACTAAGTTTTATATAGCTAATCATGGAGTACTACAGGTATATAGTGACTCTCTACTTGGGACCCAACAGCATTAGAGGGAGGTGGTTTTAGGTAGGGTGGAAAAATGCTTGAGATAATGAGAGAATGCATTATGAAGCATCAGAAAGAAGGGTGACAGAACTCAAAAGGCAATAGAAAGAGTAGTACATAAAAGACTAGAGGGTTTTAATTGTAGTTTAAATTCTGAAAATTTCATTGTATCATTTGGTAAGAGTCTATTCCCATTTCTAGACTTTACTTCCCCATATTCAAAATGGAAGAGCTGGTATAAATTGGTCTGTAAAATCCTCTTTGGCTCTTACTTTCTAGTAAGTTGATGTGTGTTGAATTAGGAGGGTTGTCAGAAAGTGTTATGTGAATATGTGACAATGAGTTTGAGTAGGTGAAGTGTTACAGGCAGGTTAGAAAATGAGTTTAGGATGGCAAGTTTCAGTTAACAGAGACCATTTCTGTGTTTTGCATCATCAAAAGTCTATCTTTGGATCCAAGGATGCCTGGGTAAGAAAGTACAAAATGGAATAGGATTAGGGATTCAGCATGGTAGTGGAACATATATAAGGACCTTGAAACTGACAAGCCTGGATTCAAATACTGGTTCCACAATTGTTTGCCCACCTTTGGTAAGTCCAGAGAATGAAAACAATGATGATTACATTATAAAATAGTAGTGAGATTTCAGAGACATAATGTAATTTTAAATTCTGGAGAATAGAGAAAGCATGTGACCCAAGATAGAGGATATAAGAATGGAAAATACATACTCAGGATCTATTGTTAAAAGGTGGGAGCTTAAGTCTCAACCCTACCACTGCCTAGCTGTACAATCTTGAACACGTTATTTATTCCTTTCTGATACCTAGTTTGCTATATTAAAAGTGTATTTCACACTGTAGTTAGGAAGATTGAATGGCAATAAATTTCAAAGCACCTAACCCAGGCCCTGACATATAATACACTTTTACCAAAAAGTAATATTCCTTCTTCATACATGTCTTAGATTCACAGAAGACCTTTTTACTTTTATTGGTACGTTTGCAGTATGAAATGATTGCATTGCATATGGAGAGTGGTACATGCATATAACACATCTTAATTCATTTACTACTTCTTCTCCCTCCATTTCTTGGACCTCTTTCCCTCTGACAAAGATGTAGCTCCTTTTTTCCTATTGATTTTTACTTTTCTATTTGTTTATATTTTGAGTTTCTTAAATAGAAGAAACCATGCAATATTGAAGCTTGTGTTTCTGACTTATGTCACTAAATATTATGGTTGTAAGTTGCATCCATTTTCCTACAAATTGCTCAAATGTATCCTTCTTTATGGCACTGTGGTTCTCCATCATGTATATATACTACATTTTCTTTACCCATTCATCTGTTGATAGATGTGTGGGTGGTTCCCAAGATTTAGTTGTTATGAATTGGGCTGCTATAAATCTGAGTATGAATATATTACTGTAATATGGTGTTTGTTTTACTCTTTTAGAAAGATAACTAGACGGGAGAGAGCTGGGTCCAGTGGAATGGTTATTTTTAGTTTTTTGGGTAATCTCTATACTGATTTCCTTTGTGTTTATACTAGTTTATATTTTCATCAACAATGTAGAAGTTATTTTTTCATTTCAACCTCACAACCAGTTGTTTTTTATTTAATTTTTTGGTATTATTTAATACTTTTTGGAGTGAGGTGGTGTCTCAGCATTTTTATTTTGCATTTCTCTAATTGCCAGAGATATTGAATATTTGAATGTGGTTATTGCCCATTGTACTTCTGAGAAGTGTGTATTAATTTCAGTTGCCAATTTTTAATTGAGTCTTTCATTTTGGGGGGTCTACTCTTGTGAGATATTTATGTATTTCAGATATGTGTCCTGTGTCTAAGGAGGGTAGTTAAAAAACTTTTTGCATTCTGTAGGTTGCCTCTTTACTCTATTGGTTGTTTATTTTGCTGTGTAAAAATTTTAAATTTGATTTGTTGATTTGATTTTTTAATTTGATTTGTGATTTGTTGATTCTTGGTCATTTCTCTTGTAATTGATGTTTCATTCAGAAAGATTTTGCTTATGCCTATAACTTTAAGTGTTTTACCTATTTTGCCTTGCAGTAGTTTGTTTCAGTTGTAATATTTAGATCATTGATGTATTTTGATTTTAGTCTGCATTATACATTGTAAGATGTATTAAACTAGATTGAATCTGTGTGTATATAGTCAGCTTTCCCAATACTATTTGTTAATAAGGCCATATTTCCTCCAGGTTATGTTTTTGGCATCTCTAATCAGATACTTGAATGTGCCTTGGATTGTTTCTGCATGTTCTATTCTGTTCCAGTGAGCCACATGTCTGGTTTTCTGCCAATACCATGCTGATTTTTTAATTGCTATAGTATCATAGTATAATGGAAACTTTGGGATTATGGTGCTTCCTGCTTGCTCTTTTTGCCCTAGATTATTTCTGCTACTGTGGGCTCTTCAAATTCATAAGAATATTAGAATTGTTTTCTCTCGTTCTTTGAGGCATCTTATTGGTATTTTATTTGAAATTCCATTATTCTATCAGCTTTGGTAATATAGCCATTTTGTCAATATCTGTTTTCCCTGTGCAGAAAGAGGGGATATCTTTTCATTTTCTGAGTCTGCTTTGATCTTCAAAACACTCGGTTTTGTTGTAGTGATCTCACTTCTTTGGTTAGGTTAATTCTGGAGTACTATACTGTTTTCCTTGATGCTATTGTGAATAGTATTGCTTCCTATTTTCTTCTTTGATGAGTTTATTTTTAGTGAAGATGAATGTTATTGATTTCTCATGTTGGATTTATCCTTTAATATTGCTGATTTTGCTTATTACTTCTAAAAGTCTGTTGGTAGAATCTTTTGGGTCTTCTCCCTAATGGAACATGTCATCTACAAATAATGACAGTTTGACTTCTTCCTCCTTTCCTATACATACCCTGTTCATTTCTTTCTCTTGTCTGATTGGTCTGGATAATATTTTAAGTACTGTATTGAACAGTGTCATGGTTTATGTCTGTGGCCCCCAGGTCTCATGCATTTGCATTGTGCATTTGTGATTGGTTCATTGTCTAGTGCTTGGATTTGGGGTGTGAGAGCTGCACTGGCCTAGAGGTGGAGCCAGGATGTAATGTAATGGCAGAAAGAAGGTATGTCTGGCTCTTTGCTGGTTCCTGCTTGCTGTTTGCAGTCACCATGAACTGCAGCCCAGCCATGCCCACCTGCGTTGGAGCCAACAGAGTGTGGACTGAAACCTCGAAAAACTGTAAGAAAGAAATCTTTCCTTTCCCAACTTGGGCTTCAGGTATTTTGTCTCAGCAACGAGTAAAAAGTAACTAAGACAGAATTTGGTACCAAGAGTGGGGTCATTTGCTGTGACTATACCTGATCATGTTTTTGGAGAGGCTTTGGAAATGGCTTGTGGGCAGAGTTTGGAAAGGTTCAAACATGTCGCCTGGATGCATAGAGCTGGAGCAGCTTAGGCTGTTCTGTAGAGGAGATTCTGGTCAGAGCTCAGGAGACCAAAAGGCTGATAGAAAGCCTGATGATAAAGACCAGGCTTGGGAGGTTTCTGCTGGGAGGATGGACTGCAATGGTTGTTAGACTCCCCATGATGTGTGTTTTGGCTTGGCAGAAAGTTTGTCTGCAGTTTGCTCCTGCCCAGAGACTTTGCCTGAGACTGAGACAAAGGGCAATAGACTGATTAATCTTTAAAAGGAAATTAAAGAGCAATCAAATGTACAGGCTGTGGCATGGCTATTGTTGGGGGCTTTTAGCCAGCTTTACCTTGCAAATCAAGAGCAGAGAGCCCAGCAGGATAATTTACAATGCTGTGAGTTTGACCAAAAGGAAAATTCCAGGATGGCTGTAGATTGCAGCTTCACTGTAAAGGTAAATGAATTTGCTCAGAGGGAAAAGCTGCAGAGTGCCTTGCTCCAGAATGGCAACAGAGGCCACGTGAGGTTCTAAAATGGTAGCAACACAGAGAAGCTTTTCCTCATAATCAGGTAAACAAAACCCTGTTATCCAGGCAACTGACCCCTACAGCCAAGAGAGAGAAAAGCCTGGCTACCACTTCAGCTGGCAGCAGACCTTGGTGGCATCCACAAGGTGCTGATTTTAGGTGCAACGAAAATGCACAAATTCTGAGGGTAAGACGGCTTCCACCTTGATTGCAAAGGGCCTGGAAGGTCAAGCAGTATGCCCCTGAGAGGGCAATTTATAAAGATATAAAGGTAAAACCAAAGGTGCACTAGAGACCCCAAAAGTTTAAAAAAGCCAAAAATGTGGATGATTCAAGGAAAGCTGCAAAAAACAAGCAGAGAGGATTTAAGAGAAAAGCTGTGGGAGGTAAAATCCCTGGAAGTGCCATGGGGTTAAAATCACCCAAGTGTTTTAGAGCTTGTAACCAGATTGTTTCAGATGCTGAAAATGGAACTCTAAGACTTAATGTTTGTCCTGCTGGATGTTGGACTTGCTTTGTTTCCAATGCTTTCTATTCCCCTGTGTGTAACTTTTGGAATGATAATGTTTATCTTGTACCTTTGCATTTCAGTAATGTTTAACCTTGTTTTATTTGTACAGGGGGTTACAGTTAAGAGTTTACCACAGATCTTGGAGGGGACTTGAGACTTGGACTTTTCAGCAATGCTGAAACTGTTAGGACTTTGGCAACTCTTGGAGGTGGACTAAATGTCTTTTTTATAAAGACATTTATAAAATTCCACCCCTGGGGGCCAGGGGTGGAATGTCATGGTTTATGTCTGTGGCCCCCAGGTCTCATGCATTTGCATTGTGCATTTGTGATTGGTTCATTGTCTAGTGCTTGGATTGGGGGTGTGAGTGCTACACTGGCCTAGAGGTGGAGCCAGGATATAATGTAGTATCAGAAAGAAGGTATGTCTGGCTCTTTGCTGGTTCCTGCTTGCTGTTTGCAGCCCCCATGAACTGCAGTGCAGCCATGCCCGCCTGCCTTGGAGCCAACTGAGTGTGGACTGAAACCTCCAAAAACTCTAAGAAATAAATCTTTCCTTTCCCAACTTGGGCTTCAGGTATTTTGTCTCAGCGATGAGTAAAAGGTAACTAAGACAAACAGGAATGGTGATAGTGGATATCTTGTTCCAGATTTTAGAGGAACTTTTTTTTCTCTATTTCATATTATGCTAGCAGTAGGTTTGTCATAAATGGCTCTTTTTCAATTTAGATAATGCCTTTCTAACTATATTTTCCTCAGGAATTTTATCATGAATGGATTTTGGATTTTGTCAAAAGTGTTGTCTACATTTATTGACATGACTGTGTGTCTTTGGTCCCTGCTTCTGTTTATTTGATGTATTACATTTACTGATATACATGTGTTAAACTATATTTGAATCTCTGCACTGAAGCCAAGTTGGTCATAAAGTGTGATCATTGTGAGGATCATGCATTCCCTTTACTGAAACTTGTTAAGGATTTTTGTATCTTTGTTTCTAAAGTGATTGGCCTGTAGTTGTCTTTTTTGTCTAGAGCCTTACTAGATTTTGGAGTCAACTATCTAGCTTCCAAGAATGACTTTGGGAATATTCCTTCCCTTTCAATTTTATTAAAGAGTTTGAGGAAAATTGACATTACATTTTTCTGGGGGATCTTCTGAAATTCAGCAGTAAAACCATCTGGTCCTGAGCTTTTCTATGTTGATAGTTTTTTATTATTGTTTCCATAACGTTGCCAATTGTGAGTTTATTTGCCTCTTTTTAAAATGTCTTCTTGGCTTAATTTTGGTAATTCATACATATTTAGAATCTATCTATTTATTTTGAATTCTCTACTTTATTAGAGTACAGGTTTCCAAAGTCGTTACTAATAATCTGGATCTCAGAAGTGTATGTTTTTTATGCTTCTGTCTTTTTGGTTTTGTGAGTTTGTGTTTTTCAAATTGCCTTAAATAAGGTCTTTTCTTGTTTTTTTTTTTTTTGTGGTAAAATTTGCAAACAGTGTGTCTATTTTGTTTATTATATAGTAAAACCAGTTCTTCAATTCATTACTTCTTTGTAATATTTGTAGTCTTGATATCATTAAGTTGTGCTCTAATCTTTATAATGTATTTCCTTGGATTTAGATTATTTTTTTTTCTAGGACCTTGTGTTGCATCATTACATTTTTATTTGGGTTCACTCTATTTTTCTGGTGTTGGTTTTTGCAGTTATAAATTTGGTGAGCTGTTAAGCTCTGTTTTTGTTTTCAAGATGGATTTGAATACTTGGTCAAACAACATCAGATTTATATTGTAGTTCTAATGCTTTGCCCTCATGTTGGTCACTTCTGCTTCCCATTCTTACAATAAAACTTTTAATCTTCTGGATTTTTGTTTGGTACCTTTGCATGAACTATAATTCTTTGCTAAATTAGTCACTCATGTTTTGTATCATTTTGTTTAGCTCAGCTAGTTTTTATTAGTATTTTCTATAAACTTGCTAATCATTTTGTTTAAGTCCGTTAGCTGTTTAGTTATATTCTTTTTGAACTCGAATACATTATTTATCTGACATTTAATCTCACCATTTATCTTTCCATATAATTCAGCTATGTAGCTTTTAAATTACTCCCCATTAATTCCCCAAAGATCAGCTTTGAGGGATTTGAGAATATTTTCTGGCATTTTGTTACCCTGTCTTTTTATGTTTCTATTTCCCTTTCTTTTGTGTAGGTATCTTTTGAGGTTTGTTCGCACTTACAGTGGAAAAATTATCTTGAGAGTATAGAGATTTCTTTAGTCATTTTTATGCTTTTCAGTGATGCACCCTGGGCACGACTAACTCTAAGCCTTTGCCTCTGTCCCAAGATACGATCACGTCTATTAATTTGGAGGGATAAGGCAGTGTAATTAGTTTAGTTCCCAGTTTTCTGGGTAATAGTGTGCAGGATTATTAATGAAACAATGGCAATATAGTTATTGATAAACAGAGAAAACTAATTCATAGCAATAACTATGCCATCCCAGCAATAACAACTAAATCAGCAACAATAATAGCATCATAGATAAAGTGGATATTGATATATCATAAAACCTAATATAATAAGAGTACAAATGCAAAAATCAAACAAGTATTGACATAACTAAATTCAAAGATTATATTTTTAGTAAAAATAAGGAAGAGTTCAAAAGTGATAGAATAGAGTTAACTGAGTACCTGAAGATTACTAATGTTTGATGGATAGAACTAGCAAAGACAGAGAAGGTGAAGAACAAAAGAATGAAAGTAGACAATTAGGAAAAATTTAGCAGCAAAAAATTATAATGAGAAGAGAAAATGAGATGAAAGTTCATATTAAAACAAAAGGGAGCACAAAAGAAAAAAAATGAAAAAGAAAAATATGAAGAAAAATAAAAATTAAAAGAAAATAGGAAAAAATCTAGATTCTAAAAAAATCAATGAAGAAAAGTAAAAACATTAGTTTTAAAAAATATTTTTAATGAATGATTTACTTCTAGGATCTAAAGTCTTTGTAAGATGGCTCCCCTGCTACAAATGCCTTACTCTTGATGCAACCCAGGCTGTGGGAACCATTCAGGCTGAGGCTTGCCCTTGTTCATACTGGTAGACATTAAAAACAATCAGACCACTGATTTGCAGTAGATCTAGGCAGCACAATAGTTGTTGCAGCTGACTTCTGGACTTAATGTTAGCACTTTTAGACCTGGTTACCTCTGAGAGTGCCACACACTGGTTCTGGCTTCTCACCAAGGAGGTCAGGGCCCTAAACTCTATTCAGCCTGAATTTAAAATTCTTAGGGATCTATGCCTAGCTCATACCCTATCCATGAATGTTTATTGGGACTGCTTTTCACCTAGTCATTGTTGGAAAGTCACTGGAAACCCTAAAATGAAACTGTTTTTGTAGTTCTTCTGAGGCTTGGTATTAAACAGTGGGCCTTTCCCCAGAATAGTTCTTGATGATATACTATCTGGCCATATTGTGGATATTGCAGTGGATTTCTTCTCCAACTCAAGTCTGTTGTAGGGAAGGAGTCACTGTTTTACAGTTTATAATAGCTACCTTTTCTTGGGACTAGTGCTTAAAGATCAATTGTTTTTCCCTATAATTCCTTAGCCTGAGGGTATTATCTTTTGTTTGCTAGACAGGTTTTTTGTCAGGGAAACAGGGTGAACTTTCTAGACTGCTTTGTTCTTTCTCTGTTTCTCCAGCTTCTACACAGTTGCTCATTTTTCTGTATGTTCTTTCCAAATTATCATAGATCTGCTTCTTTTTTTTCCTCTTCACCAAAGTCTTACTTTCCAGGTGTTTCCTGTTCTCAATGAAGCTGTATTTTGCTGATGATTGCTACTTCACTATTTTCTGTCTTCTCGAACACACATAATTTTACTCTTAAAATGTTGTGAGATTCTGTTTGAATGTCCACTTTGTATGCTTTAATTTTGTAACTTGAACAACTATTTCTAAAATGACAGTATGTAATTATCAACTAGTGATTTCTTAGTGTTTTTTTTTTTTGAATTCTGTATTGTTGTTACCCTTTTTTCTGTTTTGCTTTTATTCTCTTTAAACAAAATTTTTTAAAAAAGAAAAGGGAAAATGGCTGTGATAGTTATGACCATTATTCCTCCTTGTAGTATCTCTCACATTTGGAGACATTGCTTAAAATCTACATTTTCATGAGAGATCCAAGTTTAAAGCTTATTATCCATCATTGAAGTTGTTCCATTATTTTTGGGATTTCCCTATTTATAAATAACTTAGTCTCTCTTCTTAATTTGATGCTCTCACTAGCCCTGTCAGGTGGATTTCTCTAACAAAAAGAGAAGCTCAGACTGAGGGAGTGACTTGTCTTTCAGATAGTAGTAAAGATTATGTTTGAAATCAGTACTCCTGAGATCAGTCTTTGCTATGTTGGCTCTATGTGAATCTCTTGCAGAAGCAAAGGTGAGAATCTTTGATAGTATTTGAATTCCTACCTGGGTTCTCTTTCTTAGCCAGGATCTTCAGGAATAAGGAAAAATAGCTCAATAGGTATGACAATAAAGAGACTAGTGAAGAATCAAAGGAGAAAACACTGGAAGATAGAGTAAGGTGAATATTCTGTGTGAGCAATTCTGGTAGAATGGGAAACATCATGATGTTCTTTCTCCAGATGGAATGCAGGCACTTTACAAGATCAAGGCTTGCTCTACGGCCCCTCCTGCGGAACAGCTCACAGGCAAAGTTCGGCAGTACTTCATCGAGGCACATGAGATTCAGTGGAACTATGGTCCGATGGGATATGATGGGAGTACTGGGAAGAGTTTGACAGAACCAGGAAGGTAAGAAGTAGAGGGTTCTCTCCTTGTACTCTTCTCTAAAAGCATATCTTCCTTTCAGAAACCTCTTACTTTACTTATAGGTAACAATCAATGCTTTGTTGGGGTTACTGTTAGCTAAGTTCTTGTGGCCGTTGAGAAAACATGCTCTTAGGAGAGCTACAAAAAGCAAAGCTTTTTGTAATGTTATGATCCAAGCAAGGGACTAAAATGAGTAAGAGCTTGGACCTCTAATCCCTGACCATGTTGAGAAAACAAAGTCCAAATGGGACCAGTGCCCACATTGTTAGACATGGCTCATTTCTACCTTTTTTCTCACTCATTAATTATCTTTTTGATCCTTCTTTTCTTTTCTACAATATGAAGGAGCCATTTGAGCAGGAGTATTAAAAGCACTCTGAGAAATGTGACAAAAAAGAAGCAAGTTGCTTTGTGGCTATTCCATATCCATCCTTTTGGAGGAATTTCTTCACCTTTTGTCTCTTTCGTGACATAAATGCAGACAAAGCATAGCTGGAGATTAGTGCCCTATTAATTTCTAGACCTTAAATTATACCAACTCTCTTGGCAACTAATGGTGCCAGTTTTTTTTCGTAGATCTTAGTAGATAAGTAGGAGAGGGCACTGGGAAGATACAAGGGTGCATATTATGCTTATTATTTCATCAGGAAATAACTAAGTGAATCTGAAGAAAATGTAGGGAGGTGGTGCTTGAGTTTCAGAATGGTATTAGAATCTCCAACTCTTAGTGAGTTCTCATTTAGGAGTGAAGCCTTTTTTTTATGACTGGGTCTTCTATGTTGTCTAGGCAGGTCTTAAACTCATGGGTTTAGGTGATCAACCTGCTAGCCTCCTGAGTAAGTGTGAGTACAGCTGTGCACCCCCACAAACAGATAAGGATATCTTTGATTGAAGAGAGAAAGGTTTGGAGTACCTGAGGATGATTAAGTACAGAGGTAGGCTGAGTATTTCTAGAAGGCAGAAATCCAAGTATCTGGTACTTGCAAGAATACTCGAGCCTAGTATAAAGAATGACTCCAATTATTAAAAGAATCTAACAGTAAGTTGGATTATTCTTTTGAGTTCTCTATTTAAAAAGACAAATAAGTCCAAACCAAGGATAGACATAGCACATGATGTAGAACAGAGTACAAGGTCATCAACAATGGTTATCAACATTGTCTCTTGTTTCCTTAAAAGGAATTGTCTATCTCATTAGATATTATAAAGTTGGACAAAACAGTGGAGAACAAGACCAATAAAACTTAGGCATTGTGAACATTGCAGGACTTCCAAAGGAGACAATAGTCAAACCAGAATGGGCATCTTTGTGAATCTTATTGCCTTCAAATTAGTTGCCTATACCTTCAAACTTGCTACTGTCGCACAGAATGGAACAGAGTCTAATCAGTCAAAACAAGATCTTGGGAGTATTACAGGACTTCAAAACAAGTTAATAGGAGATCAAAAAGAGTTACTACTATATATCCTAATTTTTTAAGTTTTTCCCTTAATTAAAATAAACATAAGAAATAGCTAAATAATTTTTTTTAAAGAATAGTAGTTACCATAGTGTCTGTCTTTTTCCTTAAAATATTTGGATAAAACTTCATATACTATAGCTTCAAATATTTCCATATCAAAAAGCCCAGAGTAAAGCCTTTCTAATTAATAAGTGAAAATTTTATAAGGCTTCAAGGCCACATAATGGGGAATCATGATTATCACATATTTTTATATATTTGAATCATTACTTACATTAGGGAAACTATTCGGTATTCATACATGCGAGATTGATTTATTTCACTTATGAGTATGGTCTCAAGCTGCGCCCATTTATTGATAAATATCTCAATGCAATCCTTCTTTATAGCTGAATAATACTCCATTGTATAGAAATACCACAACTTTTTTATCCATTCCTCAGTTGATGGACACTTGGGTTGTTTCCAAGATCTGGCGATTACAAATTGTGCTGCTATAAACATAGGTGCACATATATCCCTGTGGTATGATGCTTTCAGTTCTTTTGTTTTGCCATATTTGACTTTATTATCTTTATTATCTTTATTATCTTTATTATCTTTATTATCTCCCCCCCAAGAGAGTAATGAGAACTGAGGAGTAATAAAATCCAAAATGTGTAAATTTTGTTATAAAAAAGAGAGGGAGGGAAAAAAAAAAAAGAGCTCTAACGGATATAACAACAAGTGTGTTTAGGGATGTTAAATAGCTGACTATATTAATGTTTTTGGATCATTGAACACAGCTGTTTGCAGTCTCTCCGTTTGAATGTCTACTTTGTATTCTTTGATACTGTGATTTGAGCAACTATTTCCAAGATGATATTATGTAATCTATTAACAGGTGATTTCTTACTGTTATGTTTATTTTTTTTTTTTTTGTAGTTCTGTATTATGTGTAACCTTACACTGCTTTGTCTTGTTTTGTGTTTTTCTCTTTTTCCTCTTAAATAAAAAAAAAAAAAAAAAAAAAAAAAAAAATATGCACAAGCTTAAAAAAAAAAAAAAAAAAAAAAAAAAAAAAAAAAATAAAAAGACAAATAGAAATTGTGTTACTGATTAGTGGTGTTATCATAAGTGATGCATATCTTTACTGATAGGAGTGAGCTTGTGTGATCTGGAAGGCCTTTCCTAATCATAAAGAGCCATAACTTGATGAGATTAAAGGTAAGATGAGGGTCTGTTTGACATGCAATGAAATTGTATGATATTTACCTCCTTATACACTAGTGGTTCAGATAAGTTCTTCCAGATGAGCTCTAGCCGAATTGGAGGTACTTACTGGAAAGTTCGTTTTGAAGCCTTTAAAGATGAGACATTCCAGGAGAAAGTGCAGCTGGAAGAAGAAAAGCATCTTGGAATACTGGGTGAGGAAATTTTTAACTTATGAATCTTTTATTTTTCTTCTGAAGAAGATTCATAATTTGAAATTTAATCTTTTAACTTTCCTAATTAGACTAGTCAGAGAAGCAGATTTAGGAACTGGAATCTGGAATTAGCTGCGGGGCATATTGTAGATCAGAATCTCCCAATGGGAATCACAATAACTCAGTAGAATAAAGGTTTATTTTGCAAACATACTGTGTTCTGGAAACATGCTTGTAACTCAAAGCATTCATATATCAAACTGAATTTCCCCATAAGAAACAGTGGAAACTCAGAAGTTTCATCATACAACCCAAAAATATTCATTCAGAAAATGATTATAACACTGTAATATAACACAAAATATAAAGAAAACTAAACATTAACCTGCAGTTATCTTTAAAAACTTTGGTGACTTATAGGACGGAGACAAAAGAGAGAAGGGGTATCGTTAAGGACAACTTTCACTATCACTAATGGAATCCTTGCTATCTAATAGTTCAGTGGAATCTTTTTCCTCTCATGCAGCTTTAACAAGAAATCTATCCAATGACACTTGTTTTGCCTCTTTTTGAGGATTTTATGGAAACGTGATTTTGTACTGTAAACAGATTCATCATTGTTCACTAGAACTTCTACTGCCTTATTTGGGTAGCTTTTCTATAAAATTTCACACTGTTTCCCACAATTTCTTCCTAATCTCATGTGAGATGAGGGATTTCTTTGATATTATCTGTACCTCCTCTTCAGACATGACCTCTTTTGCAACTTCTTGCTGTTGGGAGAAAAATCATCCACAATTCTAGAGAGAGACAGAGACAGAGACAGAGACAGAGACAGAGACAGAGAGACAGAGTACTGTTTTGTTGGCTCAGTTGTGATCATGTGATTGTTGATGACACACACTGCTCATATTACAAGACATCACTTGTTTATTCAATTAAAATGTATTATAAATATTTACTCATCTTGTGGAACACCCATATAACAAGTTACTCACAATTCAAGGTTTTACAGTGTTTTGCAATAAAGGTTATAAGTTTGAATGTGTAAAATTGCAAATAGTGTTATTTGCTGCAGGACTTCTAAAAGCTTTGGATTTATTTTTGTTTATCATGAATCTCCAAGATGGAAATGGAGTTGATAATATTTACTTTTCTACTGAACTACATTTTTGGTAGCATCCTCTTCTACCATTATTATACACATCACACTTTTAGAATTGCTTCTCTAGGGACATTCCTGAAGGACTGTATAAGGTAGTACAAATGTTGAGATTCTTGGCAGTCTGGGCCCAGAGCTGATCAGTGTGATATATAGTCATACTTGCTTAATTGAAGGATGTAGAATGATGTTTTGAGTTTGATCTTTAAGATGATATCCAAAAATTGTAAAAGAGATTATTAAAAGAGGACAGTAACATTAACTGTGGTTTATTAACCCAATGGAAGTAGGAAATAAAACAGATCAGATGGGTGAAAACTTTGGAAATGAAAATAATGTAATGAGCCATGTTCTGTTGCAAGGTATAAGGCGATTGTTTCTACAGCTGAAAATGAAAAATGAGTCCTATATCAGCTGTACAGGGAGATATCAGGAGAAGAAAGGCACTCAAGAAAGAGGATCTTAGATGGAATCTACTAGAAAATGTAGTTATGAAAGCTTACATAATAAAGTTAGAGGAAGTAGGAATCAACCAGATAGTGAAGTGTAAAACAGTCCAGGCCACAGATTTTGACTAATCTGACATTGGAATTTGTGTAGGTCAGTGCTATCTGTCCAAGTTGAAGTTTTTCTATCTGTAAAAGGAAAATAATAATCCCTTCCCTGTATGCCTTAGAATGATTGTTGTGGTTCAAAATGAAATCACAAATTTTATAGTAATGTTTGACTTGTGAAGTGCATTATATTTATAAAACATTACTTCTCTTTTCTACTGTCACTTACTCCTCCCCCTTCCTCCTGTTTTCTTCTTTCCTTTTCATCTTTGTTTCCACTCTCATTCTCTCTTTTCATTTTTCAGGGCCAGTGATCCGGGCTGAGGTGGGTGATACCATTCAGGTGGTCTTCTATAATCGTGCATCTCAGTCGTTTAGTATTCAGCCCCATGGAGTCTTTTATGAGAAAGACTACGAGGGCACTGTGTACAATGATGGTGAGCTTGTAGGGTTTCAGTTGGTAGCCGCTGGCTTTAGAGGACAAATAAATGGAGGATGGGGAAGGAGACAAGGCAGAATTGGTTTTCATGTATGAATGCTATTGACTAGATTATGTAAGACTGAAACAGAGCTAGAATCAATAAGAGAGCTTTTAAAATATCTTTAAATATTTTGTTGTTTTAAAGATACATTATGGAATTTTGAAAAACACAAACATTATAAAATAAACATTCATAGATAAATTGCCATGTACATATTGCTATAGTTTTAACACTTTATATTAAACAGTGATCTTAAATATATATATATATATATTTGTATATATATATGATATTGTACATAGTTTTTCATCCTACTGTTCTTGTCAGTACATTGTATTGTGTTTCCCATTCTGTTATGATATTATAAACATTTTAAAGATTATGTAACACTGTCACTTGAATCTGCATTTGTTTACCTTATCTTCTATTGTTTAGAGATACAAGTTTAAGTAACAAAGTGTAATTATATATGCCCTAGCTTCATCTTGAGTTATCGCAGGAGAGAATCCTAGAAGTAGCATTACTGTGTAACTTATTTCTTGTTTTCTCTGAGAATATTAATATATGTGAATTCTAAGTCAAAAATTTAAAAATTCTGAGGATGAAGGTGAGACTCAGTGGTAAAACATATGCTTAGGAAATGGAATGCTCTGGATTCAATCCTTAGCATTATATACCATCTAAGAAATTGAAGGCTTGTTTTACACATATGCACACATATACTTATATAACATTTACACACCCATACATACATACATAATTATATTAAAAAGAAAAATAGTCAATAATCAGAATCACTCACAGATGAAATGAGCTACAGTTACAACAGTGAGTCCCCCATCACTGGAGAGTTTCAAGCAATGAAAAGGATATAAGAGCAGATTAATGTATGTTTTCTATTAAAGAGTCTTAGAATCCCTTTTAATCCTGAGGTCATATGCTTTTGGAAAATTGAAATCTAAAAAAGCTTAAATTATCCCAGTTCATATAACAAACAGTGGTATAAATATAAATTAAACTCTAATCTCTTGATTTCTAGACCACAGTTCTTTTCAGTGTCCAATATTACATGTATGTTGTTGCTGCTGGTCCAAAATGTGTAGTTTTATTTCTTTATCCTGCTGTTTAAAGCTGATGATTCTCACTCTCCCTAATATGAATAATGACCTCATGTTTTTCTTTTAGGTTTATTCCACCCTGGCTTAGTGGCCAAGCCCTTTGAGAAAGTAACATACTACTGGACAGTCCCTCCGCATGCTGGTCCTACTGCTCAGGATCCTGTCTGCCTTACCTGGATGTATTTCTCTGCTGTAGACCCCATAAGGGATACAAATTCTGGCTTGATGGGCCCCCTGCTGGTGTGCAAACCTGGTGCCTTGGGTACAAATGGCAAGCAGGTAATGTCAGAGGAGTGTGACTAAGAAGTCTGGTAATTGGAAGGTGAAACTGGTTTGCTATATAGTAGTTAAGAATGGAACTAGATTCTAGAGGTAAGGGAATGAAACAAAGATAATCTGACCATTACATCAGAAATTAACAAGTTGTTTCCCCATGCTATCTCGAAAAGTTACTTCCTAACAAACATACTTCTTTAGCTTCTGTTTTTTTTTCCTGTTTTAGTTTCACCTATCATCATCTCCCTATTTTTCTTTCTTATCCTCCACCTTTACGGTTTTCTTTCCCTCTTCTTCTCCTTTACTGTGTCTCTCTGTCCCAGCTCAATGACTGCTCAAAATTGATCCACATCTTTAAATTTACTTGACTGCTTTTGTATCTAGGCCATCATTTTAAGCTGTGTAACTTCATACAAGTTCCTTAAACTCTCTTTGATTCATTTTCTTCATATGTAAAAATAAAATTTAACAATGGAAGAAGGTATTTTGTGTTTCTGTGTAGATTAATGAAAAAATTCCATATAAAATGCTTAGCACAGTATTTGGCACATAGTGAGAAATTAGTGAATGGTAACTGTAATAATAATCATTATTATTACTTTTCTCTTATTTTCCAGTCATCTCCTCTCCATCATTCCTGCTCATTTTCTGCTCTTCCTATTGTTCTTTGTATCTCCTTTCCGAAATCCTCATCCTATGCTTCTTTCCTTCCACTTCTCATATATTTTTCTTCTCCAGTCTTGTTACTCTACTTTGATCTCTTTCTTCCATCCTTAATATGAAGTTACCTGAAGAAAAACTGCCTAGCAACAACTGCAGTTCTGGTCAGATGATGTGGACTTGGCTCTGAATCCAGAAAAGAGGGGAAAGAATCAAGGAGTTTTGGATCTTCAGCTACACAATTCACGGTTGCTGTAACTATTGTCATTTCTCTCTTTGCTTCTTCAAACTGGGTTTCCAGAAAGGAGTAGATAAAGAATTTTTTCTCCTCTTCACTGTGTTGGATGAGAATGAAAGCTGGTACATCAATGCTAATAAAGCAGCTGCTATGTTGGATTCTCGATTGCTCTCAGAGGATGTCAAGAACTTCCAGGACTCCAATCAGATGCATGGTATGGGAAGTATTTTTTTGTCCTGGGCTATAATTGAGAGGTCTTAAGTAAAATTTAATCTAATCATTATTATGAACAATCCCTATGAACATTTTTCATCTGTATCTCTGTAAGAGACAAACTGTATTGAAGGATTTAACCAAAAGGCACAGATTTTATAGTTGACATCGTGTGCTGTGTCCTGTGTTTCACAGAATAGGGAGGTTTTCACCAGAAGAAAGTAATGAAATGAGGATTTTGTACAAGGAATCTTCTAGAGAGTGTGGAGAATGAGCTGGGGTGATGTTGTTTTGGTCTTTTTTTTTTCTCTTGGTCCTGGAGATTGAACCTAGGACCTTGCACATACTAGACAAGAGTTCTACTATTGAATTGCACACTAATTTCATTTTAGTTTTCTATTCCTCTCTCTTATATCCTACTACACTTGCTCCCATACTCCAGCAATGTAGGGCTACTTTTACCACTGTGATCATACCTTGTACTTCACTGATTTCTTGCTTTTGCAGTGCTGTGCCATCCAGTTGAAATGTCCCTCCCTACATTTTTGCCTTCAGTCTATGGAAATTCCTTTCATTCTCTAAGGCCCTACTCAAACATTCCCTCAAACATGTAACCATTTCTTATCAAGGAAGTCCATAGTGATGAGTCCTTATTCTGAACTGTCATCACATTGAATTGGATAATTTAGTAGCAAGTTCCATATACTTCTCAATACTCAGTTATTTGTTACATAGTCTTCGACTTTTGCTAGAATATATGTATGTTGCTTATCTCTGTATCCTTTTCATTATATAGTATACATTATTTGAATTGGAGAACTACCAAATAGATAGTGGATGGAATGTGGATCCAGTTTACAAGCAGCTCCCAGTAATTTGTCATGAGATGAGAATAATAGAACCTATGAAACAATTATAGAACAAACCAAGACAATACAATTAAGAGCTAAATTGGATAAAGTAGTTTTTAATTTCAAAGTAGGAGAACATTGATGAGAAACAGTGAAATTAAAGGATTCCTGGAAGAAATGAGTACTGTACTTAAACTGGGGATTAAGTGCTGTACTCTGTTTATAATCAGAACATTGTGGGCAGGAAAAGAAAAATCTAGGTGTTATCAAAGTTCCCATCACCATCACAGGGGATTGTCAAGTAGGATGGCTCATTAAGGCTGATTCTAGTGGAGATGAGGCCATTGAAAAAGGCTGAACTTCAAGCAGGTCTCCCTGTATTTTGTAAGGTGCAGTCAAGGTAGCGTGTAAAAGGTGGGAGGAGAACAAAATGAGTGTGCTGTCTTTTAATTCCATCTCCTATCCATGGTTAGTTCTACTATCAGAAAAAATAAGGCAGTCTCTTGAGCTCAGTTCATTGCAGGTTAAATTTAATGAGTGCTTAATTAGTAAAAGCAACATGTCAAGTGCTTTAGCAGTCATACATATCCAAGATTTAGAAAAAATGATATGATTCCCACCAGTTCAATCTAATGCAGAAGATAGATACATAAATAGATCATTGGATTCTGTGATATTATATTTCATAATTATGCAAGTTAAACAATCTCTTGGAAATCACAATGATAAAGAGAGGAGAGAATGAAATTGGAACTAATGGAAAAGAGGAAGGAGATGGGAAGGAAAGGAAAGCAGTGGAGAATGATCTCTCAGTTTCAGATTGTAGAAAACTATGGTATAGAACTGATATCATGTTACCATTAGAGTTTGAGGAGTCTCGTCTCATCTTTCCATCTTGTCTTGTGCTTTTGTTTTCCAGCCATTAATGGGTTTCTATTCTCTAACCTGCCCAGGCTGGACATGTGCAAGGGTGATACAGTGGCTTGGCATCTGCTTGGCCTGGGCACAGAGACTGATGTGCATGGGGTCATGTTCCAGGGCAACACTGTGCAGCTTCAGGGCATGAGGAAAGGTGCAGCCATGCTCTTTCCTCACACCTCTGTCACGGCCACCATGCAGCCCAACAACCCTGGTAAGTGCTTTAGCAGCTGGACTTAGGCTCAAAGACTTTGTTAAGGAGGGCACTGGTAGTTGAGCTTCAAGGAGGAAGGTCTAGTAAAGAGAATAAAAGCAGCATGTTGAACATGCAGGGGAAGTTTTCAAGACATTTCTCTCTTTTTGATGTGTCCTTCTTGTCCTGATTACCTGGACTGTTTCCTCAGGTGTAAGCAGAATAGAATGAGTGGTAGAGGGCTGAGGAGACTTTCTGGAACAATAGGATTGAAATTGGGATGCTTCTTAGAATGTTCTTTCATGGCAGAGTGTGGACTTGATCATAAATTCTTTTGACCACAGAAAATTTATAGATACAATCCCTGCATTGGAAAAAATGTTAATTACATATACCTGCAAGTGTTTTCAAATCTGATATTCTGTGAAGATTTCTGCAAACTGTGTTACTTCTTATCTCTCTGTATGAGGTTCTAGAATACTGTGAACTGAAAAAGCAGAACTCAGGGACTCTAGTCCATGATCTTTCATTAACATGCCATGTAGGTTTTGTCTAGCTATTTCCCATGTCTGTTGCTGACTAACTAGCTTGATTGATTGTTTCTTTCCTTCCTTCCTTGTTTTCTTCCTCCCTCCTTTCCTTGATCTCCATACATATCTCCTTCCCTCTTTTCTTCATGAATAAACTTGGCAAAAATGTTTCTTCAGATTCTATTTATTTCTGGCATTTCAAATATGGAAATATTTTTCTTCAATTTCTTGAGTGTATTCTTTTGCTAACCAGTAGATGGCTGAAAATGTCCAAAATAGAAATCTGTTAAGAGTTAAATGCAGTAGTTCCCACTAAATTTTTAGTCCTATAAATGCCACTCCTATTTGGAATAACAGTTCCTAAGGAAAATAATTCTTTTGAACAATTTAATAATTTCAGTCTGATCCTTAATATGAACACTTAGCATAAAACTGGTCTATACAGTCTTCTTGGGTACACAATGATTCCCATTTACTTGTGTTATATTTCTTGTTCAGGGTGGGTTGTTAGCAAATTAGAAAAATCAGTTAATAGTGCTTAAAGAAAAGAGAAGTGCTTTCATTAAGGTAGAGACAGGGAACTTCTAAATAAGAAAGACTCTATTGTCTTATTTATTAAGTCAAATTTCTGATTTAATGTCCTTTCTGCAGCATCAGCCAGGTGCCACAGCCAGACCTTTGTATCTTATTAGGAACCACTCTAACTTTACATGAATGATATCATTTTGTCCCTGCCTCAGAAATGTAGTCACATGCGCCTGTAGTCCCAGCTACATGGGAGGCTGAAGTCCCAGCTACATGGGAGGCTGAAGTAGTAAGATTCCTTGAGCCAACAAGTTTGGAACCTTGGCGATACAACAAGACCTCATTTTTACTTTCAACAACTACTTTCAAGATAACAATATGCAATATATGGACTAGTGTTACTTTTCTATTTTTAAAAAATTCTGTATCATTTTTATCCTTTTTCATTTGTTTTTAAAGTAAAAACAAAAACAAAAAATAAATGTACAAAAAATTATGGTGGATAGTCTGAAGGGAAAAGGTTTTGACAAGATTACAAGAGGAAAGGCTTCAACAGAAGTTATTATTAACTAAGATTCCTGAATTTTGTAACTAGTACAAGTTCTTTTTAAAAATTTTATATTTGCTTTTCTAGATCTTAGAAATTCTTTCTTCTAAAAATCTCAATTCATAGAGCATTGGAACTGGTAGAAAACACTTTAGATGGTTTCAACTCACTTATGTCACTAATGGGGGCACAAGACAGAGGCTTAGAAGAGGAAAATGACTTGCTCCAGTTAGAAATGTTGGCTCTATTTTTTTTGCTCCTCCTGTATCAAATCCTGTTTGATAGGTGATCTCTTGAATCTAACTTCATTCTGTTCCTGAGGGCTTCATGTATGACTAAAATGGAGAGATATCATTGTGACATACTCTCCAAATATAAGCCCAGGGTACCAAATTTAATGGATCAGCCAAGACCAGAAGTTTGCTTTGAGATTCTAAAGAAAAAGAACTTGATGGATAATGGTGAATATACATATATACGTAGGCAGCTATGCAGATGTTTTGAAAACATCACTGTAACTGGGTATGTTGGCATTTGCTTGCAGTGCTAGCTATTTAGGGGCTGAAGTGCAGAATCACTTGAGCCCATGATTTTAAGCTTAGGTAGAATAGCAAGACCATGTCTAAGAAAAAGGAAACATTGTTTAAATTCAATTTATTTCTTAGTGGGTATTATAATTAAGTTTGAAAGACTAGAAAAACAAATATCCAGAAAAAAATATTTCACAAAATTTTGAGGGTCTGTTGGTGACTTTAATACTTTTTTTTTTCTAAATTTTACATTTAAGGATAATAGTGAATGACATAGTGTGCTTAAAAATATTCTGCATAATGTGCGAAAGCTCTTCCTATAAAAATACTGATAATAAAGCTTTAATAGCCATGGAAAGTGGGATATACAATGGTAAAGGTTTTAACACATTATTTGCTACAAAATGTATGTTAGATTTCTCAGTGTGAAAGATAATATTTACTACTTCTCAGAGTCCTTATGGGTTTCTTTCCTCTCTTTTACAAGTAGAGCTCTTTACCCTTATTCTCTTCTTTTCACCGTTCTTATCCTCTTACTTTTCCCTCTGTTAATAGTTGCCTTGTTTCATTCTTTGTTGATTTTTGTTTTTTATGACTTTTTCATCCTTTTTCTTCCATTTATCTAACTTATCTTTTATCTTTCCTTCTTTTTCATTTCATCTTCCACTTCTTTCTTTACCATACTCTTTTTTCTTTTATTTTCTTCTTTGATTTTCTTTCCATCTTTTTTCATTCCTTCTCTTCATTTTCTCCTGTTTCTTTATCTTCTGTTCTTTCTTTTCTTTTTTTAATTATTTCTCATGTGCTTTCTCTTATTTTGTTTCCTTTTCATTCATTCTATGTTTCTTCTTAATTCTCTCTTTGTTGTCATCTACTTTATCTCTTTTTTTCTCCCTTTTATTATCTGTTTTTTAATACATTTTCGCAACAAAACAGTAAACTTCTGTTTCCTTCTGTTTGTTGGTTTATGTGCTGGGAATGAGAGGGTGGATTAGGCAGCTTACAAATAATTTAAAAAGTAGATAGGTCTACAAAAACTATTCACCAGGTGGTAATGATGTCCCAAGAGCTAAGGCAGCATATTGTGAACTGTGACAAATTATTTTTGACTTGCAAATGAGGCTTTGCTAGAAAAACAGACATCCAGATTGAGCCTTTATCTTCTTTTTTTCTTTTTCTTGTCCTGGGTAAGAAACTCAGTGTCTTGGTAATGCTAGGTAGGTACTCTGCTACTAAGGTATACCCCAGCATCACACTGAGCTTTGAAGAATGAATAAGCATACCAGAGAAAGGGGAGAGTGGTAAGGAAGGCATTATATTGGCACTAGCAGCCATAAAGGCATTGGTTTAGAAGCAACAGCTGATTAAGGAAGATTCAGTTTATCTAAATGTAAGGTATTATGTTAAAATGTGTTTGTAAATGTGGAGGTGCTTTTAGTTGTTAAAGTGATTAAGGGTATGTAGGAAGTGATATTAACATTTGAAGATATAGTTAAAAAGTTGACCAGAATGTAGAATAGTGATTGGCACAGGTTTGGGAAAGGGTGGGTAAAGGAGCCAGGATTTGATAAGTGCACTCAGTATTAAAATATAACATAGAACAGAGAGAGAAAAAAATGGTGGCTTGCTAGGAGGCTGGATGCAGAATCTCTGTGGAGAAATCAGATCAGATGCTAGAATATGACAACATGGAAAGGGCCAGATGAATGGATAGCAATTCTTATAAATCAAAGTGGTAACCAAAGGGAAAATAAAACTAGGAAGAGGAAGGAAAAGTGTGGGTAGAGAGCTGAAGTTCAATGTGCTCACTAAGACCCATTCAGTGCTGTATTAGGTGTTACCCAGAGGATCCAAAGTTGCACTGAGACCGCAGATGTCAATAATGGGAGTCAGTGAATTCTGGGCCCTTAACAGGAGGATATGGTGCAGTGAGCAGTGGATCCAAGGGGAAGAGCTATATTGGCTCTCAGTGACTGCTGGAAATTGACTGGGGGCACCGCAAAGCAGCCAGAGCAACCTGGCTGCGCCAAAGGAGACTGCAAGAAGCTTCTGGGCTCCAAAGCCAGACACCATGCAGTTTTCTGACTGATGTGTGCTGTGCTGGGAACTCAATGAAGACACGTGGTGCAGTATGCAGTGGACCCAAGAAGCAGATCTGCATTAATTCCCGGTCAGTGCTAAGGACTAGGTCCCATGGCTGCTGTCACTGGCTAGAGGACATATTGGAACTGGGCAGAGCCTGATGCCACGGAGGTGTCAGTGACACAGAGAGGACTGGTGGAGGACATCTTTGAGCTGGGCAGAGCCTGGCACCGCAGTGATGTCAGATAATCGCCCCTGGTGCAGAGAGGTCTGGTGGAGGACATCTTGGAATTGGGCAGAGCGTGTCACCATGGTGGCATCAGTGACACAGAGAGGACTGGTGGAGGACATCTTGGAGTTAGGCAGAGCCTGGCACTTCAGAGACATCAATCACCTGCCCCTGGTGCAGAGAAAACTGGTGGGATCTGCTGGGACTGAGCTATGACTCTGGTTGGGATGTAATAAGCAGATACAAAATTGGCGCAACTCTGTAACATCCACAAGGTACAGCATAACTCGCAGATTGACTGGCACAGAGGGTCGAGGCTAGCCTGCACCATCCCTACAACCCTGAATGTACCTCAGAAAACAGCAAATTGAGGAGGGTAGCAAAAACTCCAGTCATCATGCTTCAGAAAGACCCTAAGAAACACAGAGATGGTCAGAGATTCCCCAGGACACACTAGGCTGAAAGAAACTAGAAACATGACAAGAAAGAGAAATTAAAAAAATCTCCAGCTGCTGAACCTGGGAAAATAAGCCTAGGAGAAGTAAATACAGAAGAGAACAAGTGCAGTAACCATCCAA